TCGACGTATAAACCTGAAACAGAACCTTCTGAAACCTCATATGATGAGAGTGATGATTTTATTAGTGATGAGGACAATGATGTCTCCTTGGATGGAATTAGTCAGGTATTTGAAAAATACCAACGTGAACGAGAACTAAGAGACAAACAACGCCAAGAGAGGCGAATTGGACAAGTGGCTTCCAATAGGGGAAGTCGTAACGCGTGCGGGGCACATAGGGAGAGTACTAGAGATCCAAGTACCGAGAGTCCTATTATAAGGGTCTCTAAGTATCTTAAAGAGGCAAGGGCACTCGGATGTAAACTGTTTGATGGAACGGGGGATATATCTGAGGCCGATGAATGGGTTAAGAGGCTTAATGAGGCAGCCGATGATATGCAATTGACGCCTAACCTGAAGATGAGGGTTGCCACTAGAATGTTGGAGGGATTAGCTTCAACATGAGGAAGTAAGATCAGCTATTTTTGGCATGCATCCCGAGAAAGCCCCGGGGTCGGATGGTATGAATCCTGCGTTTTTTCAAAATTATTGGGATATTGTTGGTCCGGAAATTTGTAGGCTTTGCTCCCATATATTTCGTTCAGGGGTTATTCCAAGAGAACTAAATGTGACTAATCTTGTTTTAATTCCTAAAAAAGACAAACCTGAAGAGATGGGGGGGTTGGAGGCCTATTGCTCTTTGTAATGTTATTTATAAAATCTTTACAAAGGTTTTAGCCAACAGACTAAAAGGGTTGTTGGGAAATCTGATTGGAGAAAATCAAAGTGCTTTCGTGCCAGGTCGGTCTATTGTGGATAATGTTGTGGTGGCTTTTGAGACGTATCATTTTTTGAAAAGAAAGAGTACCGACAAAGAAGGCTTTGTAGCATTGAAGCTAGACATGAGTAAAGCCTATGACAGAGTGGGGTGGGACTTTCTACGCGCGATTATGACGCGTATGGGTTTTGCGAGGAGATGGGTGGAGATGGTAATGCAATGTGTTGCGACTGTCAGCTACTATGTGCAATTTGACAAGAATTTTTTGGGACCGATTAATCCGGGGCGCGGCTTACGCCAAGGGGACCCTTTATCCCCTTATCTTTTTATTATGGTGGCGGAAGGGTTGAGTTCTCTATTGAGGAAGTCAGAGGCTAGATGTGATATCCACGGGGTGGCGGTGTGTAGAGGGGCTCCCAGAGTTTCACATTTGTTGTTTGCTGATGATAGCTTTCTATTTTTCAGAGCCACTAGTGAGGAGGCACATATTGTTAAAAAAATCTATCTATTTATGAGGAGAACTCAGGCCAGACTGTGAATTATGCAAAGTCTTCCTTATCGTTTAGCCAGAACGTTGGGGAGTCGTTTAAAGCGGCGTGTAGCAGTTTTTTTGGGATCCCGACGATATGTGGTCAAGGCAAGTATCTCGGACTTCCAACTCTTGTGGGTAAAAATAAATCCGCTATTTTGGGTTATCTGAAAGAAAGAATTTTTCACAAAATTAAGAACTGGAACAATAGATTTTTATCCAGGGCAGGTAGAGCAGTTCTCCTAAAAAATGTGATTCAGGCAATGCCCAACTATGCAATGAATGTTTTTCTTCTACCTAATAATATTTGTGATGATATTGAAAATTTAATGAATGGCTTTTGGTGGAGGGGCTCTAAGTTTGAGCAGAAAGGGTTAAGGTGGAGGCGTTGGGAGGCTCTGTGTAAGCCTAAACAGTTGGGGGGTTTTGGGTTTCGGAGAATAAGGGATTTTAATTTGTTAATGTTAGCTAAGCAGGGATGGAAGCTGGTGACAGATCCCTCTAGTTTGATGTGCAGAGTTTTGAAGGCCATGTATTACCCAAACTCGACTTTTTACATGCTCAAGTGGGGAATAACCCATCTTTTATCTGGAGGAGTATTGTTGAGACACAAAATATTCTCAAAAATAACATTCGTAAGAGAGTTGGAAATGGGATTGAGGTTCAGGTGTGGGCTGATGCGTGACTGCCGGGTGAGGGAGAAGGTCGGGTTTCATCGGCTAGACCACCTGGAATTAGAGACATGAATGTTGTTGCTCTGCGCGATATAACTGGGAAAAATTGGAACAAAGAGAGAATTTCTAATATTTTTAATGCGGAGGACATGCAGAAGATTTTGAGTATTCCCATTAGCTCTTATGATAGGGAGGATGGGTACTGGTGGAACGGCGAGAGGAGTGGGAAGTTTTCTGTGAAAAGCTGTTACCGTTTGCTCACAGGGGAGGTGCAGGCCGAGGATGGGACTGATTGGGCTAAGTTATGGGATTTGCATATCCCACCGAAGCTCAAATATTTTGCGTGGCAGGCTATTGATGGCTCTCTTCCTACAGTTGATAATCTGAGGAAAAAAGGTGTGCAGGTGCTAGTCGGGTGCAAAGTGTGTGGCGATGTGACTGAAGATATTGATCATGCTTTACGGGCCTGCGAAAGAGCAAGAGAGGTCTGGAACAAGGTGGGGGTTGATTTGGGCAGCCCGACAGAGTCGGTGAATACGTGGATCTGGCGGCACCTGGGTGGACAAAATGGGGAAGACCGATGCAGATTCATAGCTATTTTATGGAGCCTGTGGAAGAGGAGAAATGGGCGGGTCTGGAAGGAGAAATGGCAAGGAGCGACGGGTGTTATTAACTCAGCGGCAGGAATCATCTCGGGATGGAGAGATGCGCAAGGCTCTGAGAGTTCAGATCGGCATAGGAGAGAAAATAATTCCTTGACAGTTTGGAAACGTCCGCAAGAGGGTTTTATAAAGATTAATGTTGATGGGGCAGTGGACGAAGGCACACATACTAGGGCATGGGGATGGGTGGCACGGGACCATTATGGCATTTTTTTGAAGGCAAGAGGGGCCTCCAAAACAGCTGGGTGGTCGGTGGTGGAAACAGAAGCAATAGGAGTTCGGGATGCTTTAATGGGAGCGGCTGAGGCAGGTTGGTCACAGGTGGAGGTGGAGACAGATGCTCTCTCGGTGGTCCAGGGGCTAACAAATGAGGAAGGTTCTTCTTACCTTTTTCTTATTCTTGATGATATCAGGCATTTACTAAAAGATAAGAGTGACTTTAGCGTCTCTTTTTGTAAACGGTCCGCGAATCGTGTTGCCCATGCTTTAGCAAGGGCACACGTGTCAGTCTCGGGTCAAGGTTGTTGGTATGATAGTATTTCTGACTTTATTGTAAGCCTGTTGGCGAATGATTTGGTGAATTAATATATCTGGCAGTTGGAGTTCAAAAAAAGAAGAATAATGGAACAAGGGAAACCAAATAACCGAGTATCTGAATAGGTATATATATGTGAGGAGTGTGTGGTAAATCACAGCCCCAAAAGTAACAAATTATTTAATGAGAATCATTAATATGGAGTAGCATTTAGTAACTTTTACGAGAAACGAAACGTCAAATGTAATTTCAAGTTAAAATTGAAATGTTGAGTAGCGTAGCTGCCGACATGCCAATTACTTTTTAAATAAATAAATAATATTATATATATATATATATATATATATATATATATATATATATATATATATATATATATATAATTATGGGCCCCTATGAATGTTGGCCCCGGGGCACAAGCCCAGGCTGCCCTTGCCCAGGGCCGGCCATGATCAGAATTTGCCTAAGGTTACATATCTATTAACGTAAGTTACATGTTAACTTTCTTCAGCAAATTACATCCTACTTACACGTGATTTACATTTTACATAATACGAGTTACACCGCAATATAATGCCAGTTACACAACATAATAAGCCCTTGTTATTAAAAAAATCATTTTCATAAAAAATCATTTGTATAGCCCTGATATTAAAAACAAAACATAAACACTATTTATGTAAAAAAATAGGCAATTAGACTCTTTTTTCATTGAAATCATTTTTTTTATATTATGTATTGGACAAGTTACACTTCGACTAGACCTGAGTTATATTCATCAATAGTGAGAGTTAAATTTATTTACACATGATTTACATCATTTTGCTACTGGAACAAGAAAAAAATAAAAAAGAAGTATTGTACACGCGTGTACTGTTCACACGATTTTTTTTTAAATAATTAAAACTACATAGTTTTAAACATGGAGCACGGTGCTCACCGTGGAATGATCCCACGGTATATGAATTGCACGAATTTCTTTCAAACCAGTACAAATTGAGGTAACTTTTATCGGAGTAGTGACAGTACAACCCATGGTAACTTTATTTTATATTATTTTATTTTATTTTATTTCTTTTTTTTGAGATATTACCCGAAATAGGACTAAAAATGTTTGAAAATTACAAAATAGGACTGTTATGTTTTTATTCCCAAAATAGGACTAATTATTGTCATGTTTTGTCAGTACAAGACTTCAAACATGACAGTATTTTCCAAACTTGACAGTAATTACTCCTATTTTGGGAATAAAAAACATGACAGTCCTATTTTAGAATTTTCAAACTGTTTTAGTCCTATTTCGGGGACTTTCTCTTTGTTTTTTTAGTACAACCAGTGTGCTATATAATTGTCCCTACGGAGAGAGGCTACGTGTATAGCTTGCACGAAGGATAGGAGGATAAGAAGAGATGACTCATGAGTGTCACTCTTGTTACGCACTACCCATGCATTAGTTAATTAATTAAAATGAATTGATTAAAATCTGCACCCAAAACTGAGGGAGTGTTTGCAATTGCTTCAACTTTAAAAAAGTGATTTTTTAATGTAATTTTGGGAAAAGTGATTAATAGTAAAAGTTGGTAGTGTCTGAGAAAAAAGTGATTCTGAAAAAGTAAAAGTTGGTAGTGTTTGGTAAAATAAGTACTTTTTGTGTAATAGAAAAAGTGAGAAGCAGTTTAAAGCACCTTTCTACCTGCTTCCAGCTTTTAGCTTTTAAGTGATTAATTTAAGCAGAAGCTGTCATTTGAAAACACTCTTTTCAACCTTTTTTAAACCCAAAGCTAAAAAGTGTTTTTTTTTTTTTTTTTTTTTTTTTTTTTTTTTTTTTTTTTTTTACCAATCTCAAACACTGGTTCAATCTTGCTCCTCTCCACATTTCTATCCACTAAACAACTCCCTCCAGTTCAGTAAAGATGAATCTATAGACTTAGGACAGTCAGATTCAGACCGATCGTTTGCAGTGGAATTTGCGAGTATTGGGGTGAGCTAAGGACAAAAAACTTAAGGCATGGCGAAGCGAGAACTTTGGTTGTTGGGGTTGAATCTGGCCGCGGTAGTTTGCGTGGTGGAGTCCAAGTACATGGTGTACGACACTTCGGCCACCATTGTTCCCGGGAAGCTCAATGTTCATTTGGTTCCTCATACTCACGATGACGTCGGTTGGTTGAAGACGGTTGATCAGTACTATGTTGGTTCCAACAATTCAATCCAGGTACCCATCCCAAACCTCCTATCACTTCTCATAGAGTTCACAGTGACAATTGGACCCCAACCATGCGGTAAATTACGGCCGGGTTTTTTTGTAATTAAATCTGCGATTCAGCCGGGCAACTCAGCAATGAAGACGATGAAAGATGGCGGATAGAAAGTCGGCTGCAACTCGTGAATGCAGAACGCCTATAGCCAAGCTTCCAAGTGCCCCAATTTCGGACTGGCAGATACCGATCGATAGAAGCTGAGACTGCTAAGATGCTTGGCCGATGAAGAGGCTACTTTACCTCTGCGATTCCGATTTTCACATCCCTATTTTCCCTTGCTAATTTCTGACCTCCTATGTGCTGCCACAATTTTTTTTATAAAAAATCTATTACGTTCTTAGTAATATTATAAAAATGAGTTTAATTTTAAACTCGAACACATCGAAAATGAGTTTTATATTAAATTCAAATGAGTATACGCCTAAAAGAAATGAACTCAACAAATTAATATTGAACACATTGAAAATGAGTTTTATGTTAAACTCAAATGAGTATAACGCCAAAATGAATGAGCATACACAAATGAGCTTTTGAATTTTTGGATACTCATTTTGAAAGTTACATATGCTCATTTGTTATTGTTTTATGCTCATTTAAAAATGTTTCACATTTCAAACGTATCATACTACATTGGATTCAGATGTTGAAATAATAAACGAAAAAATAATAAAAAGAAATTGAATTAGAAGATATGAAGCAGAAATGCTCATTGTTAGACCCTTGGTACTCAAAAAAACAAACTCGATGCTCATCACAATCACATAATGAAAATCACTTGTGCTTATAATTTCAAGTTGATGTTCAATGAAAATGTCTTGATGTTCAATTAAAAGTACTTATGATTTTCATATCAATTCTCATTTTATAAGTTATTATGCTAAACGGGTATTCATGTTATGCTCATTTGTAAAATGACATAACAATGCATATTTCAAAAGTATCATATTGCATTAAATTCGCATACTGAAGTTCATAAGAGTTGATTATAGATATAATTTAATAAGTTTTTATAAAGAAAAAACTAAAGAAAAGAAAGTAAATTCGAAGAGATGAAGCAGAGATCACGATGCTCATTGTTATGCTTCTAATGCTCAACCAAATATGTCTCATGCTCACTAGACGTGTTTTAATGCTCATTTAGTACAAGACACGAATTTCATGTATATAGTACAGCCGGCTGTACTATATACGCTTCCCAACCATGCTAGGTTGAATTCAATCAATGGTTTAACTAGTCCTAGACCCACCCACCGACCTCGTCGCATGGATTTCTCTCCCTCAGTTTTTTTCTTTCCGTTTTTAATATTTCTATGTGGGACTCCCAATCACTCCTATTCATCTTATTTGGACTTGTGATGGTTGATGCAGGGTGCTTGTGTCCAAAATGTATTGGATTCCTTGATTCCCGCGTTGTTGGCCGACAAAAACAGGAAGTTTATCTATGTTGAGCAGGCAAGCGCAATTCCTTTTTCTCGCAGTATTGGTTTTTTATGGAACTCACGATTGGTTGGGTCTCTCAATTGGGCTTTAAGTGGGCTGAATGTCACTAAAAATGATGATTGAATCCAGTTAATCCAAGGACTCACTAACCCATCAATTCTGTTTAACTCGTGGGATTTCAAAAGTTCTGTCCTTGATTGGATTGTTGTTCTAATGAGATCGGGTACCTCTGTATTAAGACCCATGTTCCATTCTAAACAACTGCCCAAAGCTTTATGTTTTGTTTATAAAGGCAAATTGTTTGTTAATGCATATTTGATGTCATTGTAGTTCTTTTTGTCCTTTCTATTCTTATGATATTGTGCAGGCATTCTTCCAGCGGTGGTGGAGGAACCAAAGCCCGAAGATGCAGACTATTGTTAGAAAGCTCGTTCACTCTGGTCAACTTGAGTTTATGTATTACAATATACATTCTTATTACAATGATGGTTTTACTTATATCCTTTGTTCTGCATTTCATATGTCGATTCATGTTAGCTGACCCCAAACTTAGCTTTCTCCGACTACCCCCTCCCCCCTCAAGTTGTCCCTGCTAATCAGAATACACTTTGCCTGGCTCTGTTCTGGCCCCACATAGACACTAAACCCCAATCTTTCGCCTAGTTTTCGTTACGGAGCACTTCTTTTAACTGAAACGTTCGTTGCCTCTTTTGACACAAAAACATTTACTATTATAGTTTGAAACAACAGCTGGAGCGTGCACGTTATTTTGTGTAGTGCTTAAGGTGTAAGGGGGTGTTTGGATCTGATTCTCAAAACGGATTCTGCTCCTTCAGGGAGCAGAAACAGAAGCTGGAGTGTTTGGGTGAAATTCCAGAAGCACTTCTGGAGCTCTAATTTACTCTCAGAATCAGTTCCAAACACCCCCTAAATCAATACTTCTGGAAATTCCAGAAGCACTTCTGCTTTTGCTTTTAAAAAAGAAGCAGAAGCAGAATCAGTTCCAAACACCCCCTAAATCAATTTTTTTTCAGTCTCACTGCATTCCTGTTAATGATATTCATGTTGCGTATGACAAGAAACTGCTAATGATACTTTTGTTTTGATTATCCACTGTTGGGGTATTGAGTGCAGAAATGGGGGTTGGTGCATGCATGATGAAGCTGCTACACATTATATTGATATGATAGATCAGACGACTTTGGGGCACCGGTATATCAAACAGCAGTTCAATGTGACCCCACGAGTTGGCTGGCAAATTGACCCTTTTGGGCATTCTGCAGTTCAGGCCTATCTTCTTGGTACCGAGGTCTGCTTTTTTGTGTGTGCTATCTGTGACATCTCTGCTAATGTGGCTCACAGTAGCACACAGTTTATCCAAGCCCTAATTGAATGAGTTGTTAGAAGAGAAGTATGAAATGTTTTATGTGTCTGTATTGAATTAAGAATATTGAATATATATACAAGAGTATCACAACTAAACTAGGAAAGTGTATATTCCTTACTAAGTAACTAAAATCTTCTTTAATTGAGCATATATACAGCTGCGACATACTCCCTCCATATTTTTTTGTTTGCTACACTTTCCTTTTTTGGATGTATTCAAAAATTTGCTACACTTTCCTTTTTGGGTAAGTTTTTCCTTTAAAAATACTCAGCTACCCTTACTTTTTCTACTTTTTATCTTTTCATACTTTTCCACCATCTCTCCTACCTTTTCTACACTATTCAATACCCCTACTATTTCACTCTTAAAAACTGTGCCAACACCTATTGTAGTAAACAAAAAAATACGGAGGGAGTATCTCTAACAGAATCTCCTTTAATCGAGCATATATACAACTGTAACATATCTCGAACACTCCTCAAGTTGGAGCAAATAAAATATCTCTAACATATTAATCATGCCCAACTTGCTACAAATAAAATCCATTTGTGGTTTACGGCGTGGCTTCGTAAAAATGTCTGCGAGTTGATGTTCAGTCCTAACATGCACCAATATGATCGATGGAGGGTTTGACTGTGTGCCAACTACATGATCTATTGTAAAGTGACAATCAACTTCAATATGTTTGGTCCTCTCATGGAATACTTGATTCTCGGCTATGAATAGCTGACTGATTATCACAATAAAGCCTCATAAAATCATTAGTATTCACTCCAAGTTCTTTGAGTAGTCTTTTGACCCATGTTATTTCACATGAAACATCTGCCATGACTTTATATTCCAACTCTACACTTGATCAAGAGACTTTGCTTTTCAAGGAAACTAGATTTCCACCCCAAAAACACAATATGCTGTAGTCGGACTTCTGGAAATTCGAAAACCAACCCAATCTGCATTCGAAAAACCAGATATTCTGCCATCACTTGAAGAATGCATCTACTCGACAATGATCTTGACCGGAATAGAGTACTCCTAAGTCCTAAGCTTGATGTGGCTTTGAGATACCTCAAAACACGAAGAGTTGCATCCTAATAGCTCAAGACACTTACCTGAAACGATGTATTAGGTCGAGTAACCATTTGATAATTCAATTTCTCAACTAGTCTCCTGTAACGCTTTAGATCCTTCATTGGACTTCCACACTCTTGAAGAAGTTTTCCTGTCATAAGCATTTGGTCTATCAACGGGTTTGCATCCCAGCAAACCAGATTCAGTCAACACATCAAGGACAAACTTCCGTTGAGATGAATGAATTCCTTGTGGAGACTCGTCTTGCTTAAATTAGTTGGAGAAAATTCGCTTGACTCAAGGGGGGGGGGATAAAATTAGATAGCTAATTTGGTTGACACAAGCTAGAGTTCAAGCACAAGAGAGAATTCTTTCCCAAGAAAGTAATGAAGACGTCCTAGATCCGTAACCTGAAATTGTGATTGTAGGAACTCTTTCAATTCTGAAATTTCGCGGCTATTATCTGTCATGAACGAACAAGGAGAAGGGGGATTGGGGACATTCCGGTGATAGGTAACGATGGAAGTCCAGGAGATAACGAAGTATATTAAAGATGAATTAAAGCTGGAATACAGAAAAATGTTTGAGACTCTTCGAGTGGCCTCACACTCCCAAGTTCCCAGTCCCGATTCCCAAAATTCTGCCTGCGTTATTCTTTCCCCCACCCCCCTTTTATAATAAAACTCACTAAAAGGGCCAGCCCTCACGTAAGTAATTGGGCCTAAAACCTTATTATTGGAAAACATTAAAAATACTTAATAAGACTCTAACTATTTGTAGTGCCCGGGTCCCTATCATCCCTCCCCCCTGAACTTCCACCTTGTCCTCAAGGTGGATGATAAGAGACTGATTTTCCATTGGGTTTCAGCAGGTTTTCAGCTTCATCCCGTTCATATAACTGATCTGCTGTTCCCTTCTTTTCTTCTGGCTCTTCCATCAAGATAAATTGATAATTTTTCATTCCACATACATGCTCTTTGCCCCATTTGTTTCCACATTTGAAGCATAGGCCCTTCTTGCTTCTTTATTCCAAGTCCGCTTGTGTCAACCTTTGGCCACTCTCCCATGTCTTATTTGGTTTTGGCGATTCCTCCAGTTTGTTCTCTGAGAGTGTTCTCTCCGGAGCAGTTGTTCTTCCCTTTGTCGCTTCCACCCAATTCCAGGCTCTGACAATTTTTCCTCCCTGTTCCTTCAAGCCTTTGTTGTCTTCTTTATTTGTTTCTCCTGTCCATACCTTGTTCTTCTGTTCCACTAGCTGGGCTGTGTCCATAAGATCAGTTAACCCAGTGGTACGGTGCAACTTCAGCTCTGATCTAATTTCTTCTTTGAGGCCATTAAAAAATACTCCTTTTAGCATCTCTGGGTCAGCAATTTTGAGGGGAGCTACAACCCTTTCGAAATGATCCCTGTACTCCATTACAGACTTAGTTTGCTTAATTTTGAGCATAGGGCCAAACGGGTTCTGAACTAATTCTGGCTGGAAGCGTCTGATCAAAGCTTCCTTAAAATTACCCCAGGAGTGGTCATCAGTCTGTTCATCCCACCATTGATACCAGTTCAGAGCCCTTTCGGTCATGGCTATCAGGACAACTTCCACTTTGTCACCCTCCGATACATGATTTAATTTAAAATAACGTTCAACCCTGAAAAGCCAACCGTAAGCATCGTTTCCGCTAAACAGCGGCAGATCCACCTTTCTTCCAGTATAAACCCTATCGTTAATTCTCGTATGCTCAGGAGTACGAGAAACAGATTGAGAATCATGAGGGTTACCTCCTGAATTGGACGAACTGCCCTGGACTTCGAGACTTTGCATCTTTTCCAGCAACAACTGTACTTTCTCGTCCAACAAAGCTCTCATCTCTGTTCGGATCTCTTCCCTGGAAAGCTCCCATGATCGCTCCAAACTTTCAAGCCTCTGTTCCATGTTTGACCGTGTGAATACCATACACAGGTACAATGGTCAAAGCTTTGATACCAATGATAGGTAACGATGGAAGTCCAGGAGATAACGAAGTATATTAAAGATGAATTAAAGCTGGAATACAGAAAAATGTTTGAGACTCTTCGAGTGGCCTCACACTCCCAAGTTCCCAGTCCCGATTCCCAAAATTCTGCCTGCGTTATTCTTTCCCCCACCCCCCTTGTATAATAAAACTCACTAAAAGGGCCAGCCCTCACGTAAGTAATTGGGCCTAAAACCCTATTATTGGAAAACATTAAAAATACTTAATAAGACTCTAACTATTTGTAGTGCCCGGGTCCCTATCATCCGGACTAGCAAAGGGACGCACAGAGTACAACCACACCTTTACTTACGGGAGGGGAACAATGAGCTGGGTTAGCAACAACGGCCTGGAGACGGGCATGACCAGTCAACTAATGGCCCGAATTGTTCAATTGGGCGGACTTATTTCAACTTTAGTTATAATTAATTAATTATCAGTCTGGTGTTTGATTTTGAAGGATACTCCGTACTATATATAAACCGAATGTATGAAGAATGAAAGTAAGAAGAATGACTATTACACTTTCCCTCTAAAATTTTCTATTCTTCTTCCCAACCCCTCTAAATCCTATTCCATTCTTCTTCAAATCAGCGTGACCACATTTGGCAGTAGAGCCGCCATGATCCAGGAAGATTGCGGAAGGGACTCGTCTTTAGGAATGCTTGGACGGCCAAAAACGTCTGGAGCAGACTCTCGGCTGAGACTTTGAAGAGGGAAGCTGCTGAACAAAAAAAATGGAGAAATTCATCTTAGAAATCAGGCGATCCAGAGTCTCGTATATAATTTTCCATGAAGACTTGCTCAATATGAGTTATCTCTCTCCTCTTGAAAACGAGAAAGTTAATAGGGGTATTGCTTTGATCAATGAGGATAATCAAGTGGGCGCAACAAGAATCAAAGAGGAGAAATATTATTTTTTAGAGGAAAACAATGATGATTGTCTTAGGGAAAAATAATTTAAATACCCCAAACTTTGAAGGGGTGTGCGGTAAGCACCCCACACTTACATATGTAATATATATACCCCGAACATTACATAAAAAGTTATGTTATCACCATTACTATGTATTTTTTTATTCGAAAATGTAAACTTGTGGTGTTAAGCACATCGTTTAAAATATTTAAAACATTTATAGAGGTGTAGTTAAAGTGTCATAAATATACATTGTGAAAGAAAAAATATGTTCATGGTACTAATATTACTTTTTATATAAAGTTTGGGGCATAAATATTACATATGAAAGTTTGGTGCTTACATCACACCTCTTCAAAGTTTTGTGTATTTAAATTATTTTCCCCATTGTCTTATTGGGGTTGTGAATGTGGAAACTCCTCTCCGGACTTTTTCCCCTTATAAGCATCAAGGTAATGTTATACTCGAGGGTGAGTCTCAGTTCGAATGTAGTGACACTTCAGATTCTTCGGGTGATGATTCTGATAGAGAGCTACTCAATCGCCTTAGTGATCCTAACTTGAAGACAAGACCTCAACTTAGAAGAAGTGCTCAACTCCAAAAGAAAATGGAGGATTTTCTAGACCGAGCCTTCTGATTATAGGGTTGAATCGGGCAACCAAACATTCCAAAAGATTTGTGAATTGGGTGAGGCTATTGGGAAGACAATTTACTTGTGCAGAATTTTGGACACCTTCGAGGATGCTAAGGGTGATGTATTTGATGGGCTGCTATCAGAGATTTAGAGAACGCGTGTTTGAGAGTATTTGATGAACTGCTATTTACTTTTGGGGTTTGTTTTAGCGGGTTTTGCTGAAGACGGTTTCTCTTTGTTAAATGTCCCACACCGGATACGTTTGGATGAACAAAGTGCTATATTAACACACGGGCTACTCCTCCTATCAGGTTGACCTTTTAGGATGAAATCCCGAGTCTTAACATGGTATCAAAGACAAATCGATCCATGGTGTGGGGACCCCTTATGGAAAATGATGACACGATTATAAAAACGGCCAGATAAAAAAAAACGGACCGATGAAAAAAATGAATGATTGCACGATCCAGACGAAGTGTTTGGTCGTGAGGAGGGGTGTTAAATGTCCCACACCGGATACGTTTGGATGAACAAAGTGCTATATTAACACACGAGCTTGAGTGGGCGTGTTGTGTTGAAGCATTTGTCCCACACCGGAAAGCTATAAAACAATTAAACACTATATAAGGCTTTGGGCTACTCCTCCTATCAGGTTGACCTTTTAGGATGGAACCCCATGTCTTAACATGGTATTAGAGCCAATTCCGGTTGTGGTTTGACGGCTTGTTTAGCACCCATGATTAAGGGTAGCTTGTTAAGGGTTTGTTTTACCCTATTACACACCCCGATATTGTCCAACCCGGTTCGGGCTGAGGGGGCGTGTTGAAGCATTTGTCCCACACCGGAAAGCTATAAAACAATTAAACACTATATAAGGCTTTGGGCTACTCCTCCTATCAGGTTGACCTTTTAGGATGCAACCCCGGGTCTTAACACTTTCTCCGGGTGTTCGCTGCTAATTGTTACTCTCATTAGTTTTTGAGTTCATTAGCGTTGTTTTCCATTAATTTTCGTTGTTCTTTAATTTCCTACCTCCATTCGCGATTGTAACTTTTCATTGTGAATATTAATAAAAAATTCAACTCAGGGTCGGTTTGGGCTCATTGATAGTAGTCCAGTCCATAAGTGTGACATAGGCCTCAACCAATGAGTTTTTGGGATGACTTGGTTCCATTTTGGTGGAAGAAGATAGTTTCAATACATTTCTTCTTTATTGATTTGTATTGGAAGTTGGAATCTCTCTTTACATGAATCTCACCAATCATCGAACTCTCTGTTTGGCATGTTTAGGTAGGATTTGACTCTCTTTATTTTGGGCGTATTGACTACCAAGACCGAGAAAAGCGGAAAGGTGAGAAGAGTCTTGAGGTCATCTGGAGGGCTTCTAAAAGTTATGGCTCATCCTCACAGGTGTATACAATTTTTTTGTTTATTGTGAGTTTGTAATTGAAATGCATGAGTAGACCAAACCAGTTTTGTATTCTGCTTGAGCCTTACATCACATTTCTTCTTCTGTGTCTTATCATTTTCCAGATTTTTGCGGGTGCATTTCCTGAGAATTATGAGCCTCCAAGTGGTTTCTATTTTGAAGTCAATGATGACTCCCCCATTGTTCAGGTAAATAAATGCTTGAAGAATGGGAGAAATTGCTTGCTTTAGATAATATGACCAAATCTTTTTTTTGGCCTAATGAAGGATGACATCGATCTGTTCGATTACAATGTACCAGAGCGTGTCAATGAATTTGTAGCTGCTGCATTAACACAGGTGAAACGGGACTTTGTAGCTATATTATCATTATCATTATTGTCGTCATCACCTTCGTCAACGTCGTTATCATTCACCACTACTACTATTATTATTAGAATTATTATATCCGTTTGATTAACAAAATTCTCACATTTTTCTAAGGAATTAAAGTTGCTTGTTGATATAATATCTTCTATATACTATGAGTCTATGACATTGAAATGGATAGGTCAATTTGATGACCAATGATATGTATATATGATTATATGTTAGTGTGTGGTACAGTTGTAAAAGTGGAATTTGACTTTGGTATATGCATACAGATATGGAATGAATCGCATCATCTATGCTCCATATCTTTTGGGCTATGTTTGGTAAAACAACCTAGGAGATAGTTAATAAAGTTAATTAGTAACCTATGGCTTATAACGTATTGCGGAAGGTTAGCTGATCTCATAAAATATTTAGCAAAGTTAGCTTAAAAGCTAGTTTGAAATGATTTTAAAACAAAAATATGGCTGGAGCTGGGAAGTACAAACATAATAATGTTTAGCTTATTTGAAAAGCTACTCCAAGAAGCTTAGTGAAGAAGCTTGAGCGTATCATATATGTTTCCCAAGGATACAAATAACTTATTTGAAATGCTTCTGATAAAAAAGATAACAAACAACTTCTATGCTAAGCTTATATGGTGCGGCAAACATAGTCTTAGTGTTCCAATATGATTTATTATGTAGCTAAGTTATTTGCAGAGCAATATTACCCGCACGAACCATGTAATGTGGACGATGGGAACAGATTTCAAGTACCAGTATGCTCACACTTGGTTCCGGAACTTGGACAAACTCATTCATTACGTCAATCAAGTTGGTGATCCCATTTTGTTCACAAAATACACATTATTCTGCTCATAATTACTTGTTTCTCCCTTATTATTGTGGTAATTTTTTATCGTTGAGTTGAGAAAGGAGCTATCTGTTTTGTTCGTAGGATGGCCGTGTCAATGCTTTGTACTCAACTCCATCAATTTACACAGATGCAAAACATGCTTCACATCAGTCATGGCCTCTTAAGACAGAAGACTATTTCCCGTGAGTCTCAAAAGTTTAAAAATGAAAAATTTGGCCATAAACACCTTAATACCAAATAGTTTAGGCCCCTAACATGAAATTTATCATGTCAATTGATTAATTGTGTAAAAGTTGTTAGCTTTATAAATACATGCAAAAAGGCATAGTGTTTTTTTAATACATCGGATGCCATTACTGCGTCAACTTTATCACAAGAGTAATACATAGTAATGACATTTAGCGTCAATGGAGAAGAATTTGTTGCTGAAGCCTAGTTGACCCACCTGAAGAAAGTAGACCTCTTGCTGTGTTTCTTAACAAAATCCTAGTTGACCCACCTGAAGAAAGTAGACCGCTTGCTGTTCTTTGCAACCGTCTCAATTATGGCTCCTTAGAATTCCTGGTCCAGTGGCAGGGGAAATCACTTGCAGAAGCCTCCTGGGAACCTGCATATACATTTCGGGGCTCTTATCCAGATTTTGAGCTTGAGGACGAGCTCCTATTTATCAAGCGAAGTGATGTTATGGACAATTTTGGGGCCAAAAATATAAAAAACATAGGATGAGCTAAAGGGGCGATCGGCCCAAGAAATTAAGCCCAATGAAACCACTGAAATTGGCTGACTTTGGGAGCAAGTTTCTTTATTTACTTTGCTCCCTTTTTTAGTTCTGTTTTTGCATGTTTCCTAATTAGTTTTAGCAAGTTTCTCAATTCAGGTTTTAGTAAGTTTCTCCGATTCCTTTTTAAGACTCTTGTAAGACCTATATATAGGGTCCTGAGTTGATTTATGGGGAGGTTTTTGCAGAATATATTATTGTGTGTCTTGACAAGGTCGCACACCAGATTAATTCCAATAAGTCTTTTATTTTCGTTTCTTTCTCTCTGCTCATCATTGATCCAAAAATTCATTTATCTCTTTATTCGAATTCGCTTCCGTTTTCTCGTTCTTGACATTGGCCAAGATCTTGTACGCGCTCTTAACGAAAGCACACATCAATCCCTAGTTGCTGGATTTCTGTTTTTTTTTGACACAGAATCACTTGATCTGTCACTGGTTTAGTTATAGTCTTTCTGTCCCAAAAATTATTTTTCTGTCCATCCTATTCAATATTGCAATGCCTGTAGTCATTTTCTCTTACAAGATTGATACTGTAAAATTAGCATAAAAATCATGGAACATGACCCCATATGATAAATCTGGTATTTGTTGAATTAAAATATACTCCCTCCGTCCCATTTATATTGTCCCGGAAGAAGGTGGCACGATTATTAAGAAAAGTGGATTTGTGTGGTTGATATTAATTGATAAAGTAAGAATAAACTAAGAATGATTTAGAGCCACACAAACTTTGCCAAATATGGTATGGGACAATATAAGTGGGACTTCCCGAAAAGGTAAAACGGGACAATATAAATGGCACGGAGGGAGTACATGCTAAGATTGATGTATACTACATGTCTTTGTTAATCAGATATGCAGACCGTGAAAATGCCTACTGGACAGGATATTTCACAAGTAGGCCAGCCATCAAAGGATATGTTAGATCGATGAGTGCCTACTATTTGGTAGGTCTTGCAACTCTTTTCCAGTATCTCTGATAAATAAGCCTGCCAGTAAAGTTAGAAAACCCATCTCATGTATGATGGGTGGCATGTGAGAAGATCGAGTCCATCTCAAACTTGAAGTGTGAGAAAGTTGAATCATTTTTTGTTATGCACTATAGGCAGCTAGGCAACTGGAAGTTTTTAGAGGAAGAGATGAGGTGGGGTCAACCACCGATCCACTAGGGGATGCTATGGCGATTGCTCAACACCACGATGCAGTTAGCGGAACAGAGCAACAACATGTGGCTAATGATTATGCAAAACGTTTGTCAATAGGTTACACAAAGGTATTTCTATGTCATTAATTTGTAGGTTGTGGTAGAACACCTTCCACTTGTTGGAAAGATGAGTTGTGTGTTGAGATAGTACTTCTTGTAGGCGGAAGACGTGGTTTCAAATTCTCTGGCTTGCGTGGTTGAAGGAAAACTGAAATCTGGATGTGAAAATGTTGAAACAAAGTTCACTCAGGCAAACCCCCTTGATCCTTTAATACTTTTCTCCAAATATCTTGAAGAATGTAATTTGTGACTTTTTTGTTGTTAAATCTTAGCAACTTGTTATTTTTGTGCATTCCAATATTTTGTGCCTGCCACAGTTGAATTGTTTTAATACGCCCTTTTTACCTTCATTAGAAACCTATAAAATTAAAGAATTTTGTAAAATTTCATCGTATTTTTTTCCTATCTTAAAAAAACTATTTTGAGTCTGTGTACTCCATATAAGTGGACACCTTTTTTAAATATATTAAAATTATTTTCTTCTATATTCTATCTGGGAGTGGTTTAGAGCTTGATCATAAATATCTCTTTCATCTAATTTTCTTGGTTTCCGTTAGGACGTGTTTGCATCACAGAAAATACTCTGGGAAAGGAAAGAAAAGGCCAATGGAATTTATTTTCTCGTGTTTGGTTTGACCTTGAAAAATGCAATGTAAAACAAAGTATGATTAGTGTTCTTTTTGTTCTATGGTCATTTAGATTTTTCTTAGTCTTTATTTATACTCCCTCCGTCCCAAAAAGGTTTGCAAAATTGACTTTTCTTGGTCAATGGTAGTCACAAAAAGGTTTGCAAAAGGTTTGACCAGTGATATTTTCAATACGGAATTATTTTGAACATGAAATTACATTAAAATATTCCTTATTAAAAATATTGTCAAAGTATAATTTTTTTAAATTATATACAAATATAATAATTAAAATCATTGTCCAATCTCTGTCAAATATGACAAACTTTTTTGGGACGGAGGTAGTATAATAATAGCCATAAATAAATAAAGTGTATCTACAAATATTCAAAATAAATTCATTGAGTTATAGGCTATCTACATCCCCACATTTCTTTCCTTCTAATTTGCTCCATGTTTTCATCATATTCTCTTTCCGTAGTATTTTTCAGGTTCCGAATGACCATCAGTATATTGACTGTTTCACATTTACTTTCATTTCAGTGTCCGCTTCTGAATATAAGTTATTGTCCTCCAACAGAAGTTGATTTATCTTGGGGGAAAAACTTGGTAACTGCTTTTTTTTGAAAGGGTGGTAACTGCTAATGTATCATTGGAACAGTTTCCAATATTCATTAAACATCCATTGAAGAAAATGAAAACACACTTTCTGTTCCCCAAAAACATATATGCATTTCAAAATTTCTCTCTTTGTAGGTGGTGATTGTGTATAATCCTTTGGGATGGAAGAGAACTGATGTTGTAAGAATCCCTGTAAGTTCACCTGGTCCCTATTGTGAGTACTGATTCTCATATAAGACATTTTATGATTTCTTTAACGTAATCGAGATTTATATGTTTTATAGTATATTATTGACTTTTATATTGAGTTGTTTACTTGTTTATACTCGTATCTTGCACTGATTTCCTATTAGTTGATACAGTATTCTTGACTCCTACATTTTCTTGTAGGGTATGCTTGGATCTCGTGAAATGTTTTCAAAAGATAAAATGGCAAGGGAAATTATGTTCTTAGTTTCATTTTTACCGTGAAAAATGTGAATGAAAATCAAACGCGTTTAGTTTTTATATTTCCTTTTACACACATGTATATATAGGTTATGGATCAAATAAAAAGTTTCCTTCCCATGAAAAGTAAGAATGAATATGGTTCATTGGGTCTAAGATCTAATGGCTCTAAATATGTAAAAAATGCATTAAAGTGGATAAAAAAAACGGTGGGAATATCATAAATGAATCAATGTTTTTCTTCTTTGCAAAAAGTCAACTTCTTGTGTGTAATAGTGTACCTTAAATGATTTAAAGTGGATGGCAGAAAATTCTCAATGCATATTGTATATGAGGTGCACTTTTTTGTTCAGGTAGTGCACTTTTGCACATTTGTAAAAACTTTCACTTATTTAAACAAATGCCATCACGTTTTACCAATGCTTAAAGTGCAACAGCTCTTCATACAAGTGCAGTATAGGTGATTTAAAGTGCATTTCACACTTTCGCATGTTAAGATTTTTTTTAATTTGTTCCTAACTCTCTCTCTCTCTCTATGTGTATATATAGATTTCTTAGCCTCAGACAAATATCTAAAATAATTAGTTGAGTTTTATTCTATCTTATATTTTCTCTCATTTTTTATTTCCTTTCAATGATCCTGTATGTTTTTTTGCTGTTTTCTCCAGTATGTTTTGTAGTTTGTTTGGATATCTCAGAGTACTAGGGCAAGGTTATAGGAATGGAACATTGAAAAAAATTGGAAGAAAAGAATATGTTGGGAAAAAAATCAAATATAGACTTAAAGGTCATAAATTTATTTAAATATTTGTTGATAGTCACTTTATTTATTTATACATAGTATATAAATATTAATAAATTTAAATTTGGCAAAATAGGGAAAACAAATAATCATATTTCATTTCCTTTGCATTTTCCCAGGTAAAACCAAGTATAAGAAAATAACTTGTTGTAGTACTTTTCTTCCATTCTATTTGGGATCAATATCATAAGAGGAGTTGTCAAGGTTACCTGGTAGGGATTTTTTTATTTATAAGTCGGAGGACAAACGGGAAAAGAAGAAGACTGAAAATAACACAACCTCCCTCCCTCGCCAAGAAGAAGTGTCTCTCGGTTCCACCAAGCGCATAAGAAGAATCATTTCTCCAAAAGATTGATGATCTTTTTCATTAATATGTCACCTCTATTTATACTTGTCCCAAGAGTCTTGGTGGTCTAGCATCAGATCAACTCTATTCTATTGCAATACTTTTATCAGGAAATTAACTAAAATAGGAAACTGCAACAAAATTTTAACATTATGAAAGTAACACTAACACTTCAGGAATCGAATAATAAATCAACAATTATAATAATATAATAATATAATAATAGTAATAATGGGCTTCATCTTTCCATATCATTACTCCCCTCTTGAACATCAAGCTAAATAACCAATGACACTAGTCTTTCCACGATCAAACAACATTATTATGTAGAGCTCGTTTGGTAACACTGAAATTGGCTGAATCTGCTGAAATTGACGAGATTGTGGCTGAAACGGCTTAATAGTTATGAAAAATATAAAATAAAACATATTTTATTAATAAAATAAAGAAAATTTTATTGCCAAAAAGAACTAATATGGTCTTGTACAATAACTTCAGCAAGAAAAACAACTCCTCCAACCTTATTTTAATTATTACTCTTCAACGAAATCAAAAGTTACGTGCGTTATAAAAAAGTTGTCTCATAAGACTGATAAGCTGGAAATATGGGTTACCAAACAGGCTCATATTCAATCATCTCCACATAGGTTGTAGCCACACAACTATGAGTAATGGCCCAATGTTCTAATAGCGGCCCAAATTCATCAAAATCTCCTCTTTTTAGGAAGGTCAATATTATTTTTCACTTGAGTGTGGGCAGTGAATGGTGTCATAGACAAAGCTCTCGGTGCCAAAAGGGGTGGTGTCAACTCCACTAGTGAAAGCAAGAGTGTTGTTGATAGTGATAGATTGTCTTTGTGTCAGGGCTTGCTCCATTGTCAATAACAATACTGGCAGTGATGTATATAACAATGACGGCTTATTCAACAATGGTTGTGGGAACAGTGGAGAGGCTGACGACAGCACTGAAAAGATTTGATATTTTGGTGGAGGAGATTCCCCCGATGTGGGAATCGGGGCTGCTGTTGACAGAGATGGAAAACCACGCTGTGAGTGTTGCCTTCACTCAATAGCTTTTACCAATACCAAACTGATTGCCACATCCACACTGTCGGGATATTGACATTTTAATGCCAAACGAATGTCATCATGAGGTTCAGCAGTAAAGAAGTTTACTCGAGTCTGGGAGGGTAAGCCCTTTATGCGTGCCAATAAACACCGAAACTGGCTAATATATTCATCTAGACTACCTATTTACCGAAGTAGGGTTAATTCATATTCGGGTGACAGAACCTCTAAAGTATCTTCATAGAACAACAGGTATCGTGACTATTTTTCCCATAGAATCCCCATTGTGAAGCAATTGTATCCTGGACTGAATTAAAATATACCAAAGCATGCGGTTCCATCCCATAAGACTTCAAAACTTCAGTATGTTGAACCGATTTGTCCGCAAAGACCCAGTATAAATCATATACACCAACGGGACAACATAAATTATAAACTGAGACATGTGAAGTCTGAGAGCTCATTTTTCTGATTTTTTTTCACCTGTCTTTTTCCCGGATTCCCCCAGGTATTTTACAGACTTGCTAAACAATAAACAACAGCAAAAATAATCCTACGACAAAACACATTTAGAAACAACATGATACCAGGAAAACTGGAGGTGTGCTTGTTGACCAAGGGTTGAAGAATGTTGGCGGCATAAGTCCTGGTTTTGGCTGATTGCAGTGCTTCTTGAAAATTCTTTGGCATCTACAGTAAGCGCCAAAGGTGATTGTGGATCTTACTGACTGCGATTTTTATGAAGGATCTGTTTTTTTAGAAAGTTTTTCAATTGATGAATTGAAACTGAGGTTGTGAAAAAGATGACGGGGGAAGGATGAAGATGACTTTGATACCAAATTGTTACGGGGCGTGGTTGGGAGCTGAAAGGAAGAATGAAAAGTACGGTAACTAGAGAAGTAGCACAACCTCCCGCCCTCGGCAAGGAAGTCCGTTGTTTCTACCGAGCGCACAAGAAGAATTATTTCTCAAAGAGATTGATGATCTTATTCATTAATATTATAGGAAACTACAACAAACAATACCATTAGGAAACTAACACTAATACTTCAGAAATCTAACAGTAATAATATAATAATAATAATAATAATAATAATAATGAATAATAATAGTAATAATGGGCTTCTTCTATCCATATCATATGATTGCAGGTAACCAGTGAAGATGTTGCTGTCTGGGATTCAGCTGGAAAAGAAATTGAGTCACAGGCTTTTCCTGTATTAGATGCCTCATTGTCCCTGAGGAAACGCTACACTAAAGCTTATGTCGGCAAATCCCCAACGATGGGACCACTATATTGGCTTGCATTTACTGCAACTGTTCCTCCCCTGGGTTTTACCACATATACAATCATCAGTAGTAGACATTCAGGTTAGATCCTAACCTCCATATTTGTATCTTCCCTTTCGCCCTCGTACTATAAGTCCTGTTGGAGAAAGTGAGAAACTGCTATTGTCCCAAGCAAAGTCCTATTTGAATAAGTGAAATAGTTTTTCAAATATTTTTCTGTAGTGGAGTAACAAACTAGTTTGACATGATAAAACTAGTTAAACTATAAATAAAGGTTTTAAAAATATCTCTTAAATGGCTTGTCCAATATATCCCAAATCAATTAAGAATCATGACCAATACATCACTAAAATATAAATTATGAAAAATGTGACTTTTGACATGTACGGTGGTATTTTTGCTGTGACTGTAGTGACCGTATCGTCATATTTTTGTTCAGGAGTTCTTTTTAGCAACACTTAGGAATAACGCCGATGAATTACTACCTCTGTCCCGATACAAGTGAGACATGAGGAAATGATATGACTATTAAGAAATGTGGAGTTATGTGGTTGGTATTGAATTGATAAAGTATGAGTAAGATAAGAATGAGTTGTAACCACACAAATGAGTGGGACGGATGAAAGGGAAAGATGTAGTGTTGTAGTAAATATAGTGGGGCGGAGGGAGTAATATTTTAGCCAACTTTTTATCCCAATTTTTTTTAGTTTCCAATAATGAATCCATATATTTACACTGGTTCTTATCTTCCAAATTTGTCCTATAATAAATGCTTTTGCCCTAAAAAGAAAAAAGTCCATTTAATTTAAAGCTTACGTAAGAATAGAAGGGTTATTTCGTTGGACTTCTTAAACATCAATTATTTTGGAATGGAGGAAGTATAACTGTATAAGAGTTGCACTTTGTCATAAATTATACTCCGTATATATATATATATATATATATATATATATTTTAAAATGTATTCAGATTTCAGAATCATTATTATTTACAAAACAAAAGTAATGATTTATTTAGCGTATTGATTTCGTTGGACATCTTAAACATCAATTATTTTGGAATGGAGGATGTATAACTGTATAAGAGTTGCAGTTGGTCATAAATTATATATATATTTTAAAATGTATTCAGAATAATTATTATTTACAAAACAAAAGTAAGGATTTATATATCATATTGTTGGGTTGCAGGGAAAATGTGGATCAACTTAGTGAATACACAGTTTATTAAAAGAGTGGATATTTGGGTTTATTGAGGGAGGATGATTGCAGGTAGCAGGTAGCGGGTAGCAGGTAGCTTATAGAACAGGGAGAGCATATACCATAAACATGCTTCACGTATTGCTTACCCTATGCATTACAATTAAAAAACAATCCCACTGTCCAAAAAGGTTTCCCAACATTCCTTATTTGGTCATTCCAAAAAGATTTGTCATCTCCTTTTGAAGTGATAAATTTGTGGTTCATACTATATCTCTCTCCTCTACACAGAAGTTCAAGTTTCAACTTCACAATTTTTACTTTATTATTTTTCGTGCAAGTCAAAATTCGCCAACTTTTATGGGGCGGAAGGTGTATATATTAACTTTTGAATTGCAGCTAAAGTGAAGGAGACGCATCATGGGTCAATTGTACATCAAAATGATGTCATAGTAGCAGGTCCTGGCAACTTGAAACTAATGTTTTCTGGAAATGATGGAAAACTTGCTAAATTTGTTAATAGCCAAAGCAAGGTAAAGCTAACTAGTATAGACTGTATAGTAGTTTATTTGATTTATTTTTTGTACCCAGGCAAAATAATGATGATGGGAGATGATGTTTTCTATTTAGGGTTAAATAGATTTTCTTCCTATTGATTTTGATCAAATTACCAAATGACAAAAGTCTTCCAAAATTACAAATTGCTCCTCAGACCACTTGACTTTCTGCAAATGACACTAGAAGGAAGATATGATAAGATATTATCATCTTAGTAAGTATTGAGGTTTTCAGATTAAACTATCGTCCTTGAAGTTTCTTCTAGAGAGAATTTAATACTCCACCTGTCCCATAAAATAGAGATTTTTCAAAGTTTCTTTTGTTCAAAACAAAGAGTCCCATTTCATCAATCAAACTAATTTTTCTTACGATTTTTACTTTTAACAAATTTTCCTTTTCAAAAGTAAAAAATTGCACCTTCCTAATTAGTTAGATAAGACTTTTTTGGAATTGGAAATACTTTTCTAATGTGACAGGGGTATATTTTTGGGAAATATACCTTATAAATGACTAAAACATATGTTGTTTCCCTAAACATGACTACCAACATAGTATTTCTTTTGTTTACGACCCCCTTTATGTAATGATCTTCTTTGCCGAATTCACGAATTTCTTCATCTATGATTAAATAAAAGCATCTTAAGAATAAATGCGTAATAATCATATTTGACGAAAGTAGTGTTTTACTCTTATTATGAACAATAATTCCTATATTTTAGCTGATGAAATGCATCAATTTACAAAATTTAATTTGAAGACCCATGATTCTTGTTATATTCTATAATCTATCGGTGTAAAACGGGTATCTGTGGAAAACTTAACCGAACAATGAGCCTTTTGTAATTTGAAATGCCTCATGGGTCTTTTGGTAATTTAGCCTAATTTCAGGGAGGTTGATATAAACAACCTTCATTTTCTGAGTTGAAGGTAAGTGCTGCTGTATCGCAATCATACATTTATTATTCTGCTGATGACGGAAGCAAGGATAAAGATAGGGACCACTATCAGGTGGCATTTTCTTGAAAATATTTGTTACTAAATTTTTTATGCAATTTCTTTTTCTATTTTTTATTGAAGGATTTTTATTCATTTTTGAAGGCAGGTGGAGCATATATATTTCGTCCAAATGGCTCATTTGAGTTGAACATTGAAGGAAAGGTAAAATAATTATCTTCTGAGCCCATGTTAATGTAATATACTCAACATCTAAGATCTTGTGTCCTTACATATTAGGCCGCCCTTAAAGTTTTACATGGACCTCTGTATGATGAAGTTCATCAAATGATAAACTCGTGGATTTACCAGGTACATAATCCATTCTATTACATAATCCATCAAAATTTATTTTCTAATGTTTGGTTTTACCTTGTAAAATGCATAGGAAAGTCAAATGTAACACTTCTTTTAAATTTTATTTTACAAACTTAGATTTGTTACGACCTTTATATATGTGGAAACCCTAGTAGTATTGGGCTTAGCCCACTCCTATATCTTGTATAGGAAACCCTAGTACTCTAAATATAGCTATAAATATAGTTACTTGTATAGCATTTGATCATCAAGTATATGAAATACAACAATACTTGTTCACATGGTATCAGAGCGAGTATGGTATTCGTTAGTGTAGTGTTATGCTTTTTTCTGCCGGCGTCATTTCCGGCCAGAATTCCGGCGTGAACAGTGTCACAACTTTCAATTGAGTGCTTTCAGCATACTGCTGTGCTCAAGGCTTCATCGCGACTTACCACCGGAAGAATCACCTACGCTGCATCACCCACGCGCCGCCACGCACCGCTGAAAGTCCGCACTGCAGTTTTACATTTTTTCAGATCTTTCTCTTTCTAGTTATCTGGCGTTGACACCTCCAACCACCGGAAGTTCCTGACTTTCCGGCGACCAGAACGGCATAAGTTACGCCGCCACCGACCGAGTCACGCACCGCCGCCGACCGCCGACCGCCGACCAAGTCACGCGCCGCCGCCGACCGCCGCCGCCGACCGCCGCCGCCGACCGCCGCCGCCGACCGCCGACCGCCACCGACATCCGTGAACGCCGTCGTCCTGTGTCCTACGCCACCCGCCAGCAGTCTTCCGCACCTCCCCAGAAAGATAGAGGTCTGTTTTCTTCATGCCTTTGTAGCTACAGTTCCCCTACTGCCTGGGAATTCTTACGGCCTTCACTGCTGCTGCCTGTGGAATTCTTACAGCTGCTTTACTTCACATTAATTACTGTTGCACAATTTTAAATATTTAACTTTTTGCTGCTCTTGTTCAAAAAAAAGAAAGAAAAAAAGAAAAAAAAAGGAAAAAAAAGATGTCTTCTGGTTTTTCTTCGTTTGCTTCTGTTCCAATTATCACTACAGATCGATTAATTGGAAGTGCTAATTACCAATCATGGGCCATTTCCGTGGAGATGTGGTTCAAAGGTCAAGGAAAAATTGATCACTTGATTAAAGATGCTAGTTCTGTCCAAGAAAAGAAGACCGAATGGGAGAATATGGATGCTCTGTTGTGCAATGTCTTGTGGCAGTCAATGGATTCGAAACTTCATCTCACATATCAATCCTATCGAACGTGTAAACAGATTTGGTAAAAAGCCAAGTCTAATTACACGAACGATATTCAAAGTCTGTTTTCTTTCGGCTCCAAAATTGCCACACTCAAACAACAGGATTCAGATATTCAAGATTTTCTGGGACGGGCTGAGGCTTTACTATTTGAGTATAATACCATTCAGCCAATCACATAAGATAAAGAGAAACAACTTGAACAACGACAACAATTGGTTATGGTTTTAGCCTTGGCAGGTCTTCGTCCAGAACTATTATCAATACGAGAGCAGATTCTCTCTAGTTCCACTATTCCTACTATGACAAATGCTTTTGCTCGAATTCTTCGCGTAGCCCCGATATCTGCTGAATCAGGCTCTAGCGACTCTATCGTTCTTGCATCCCAAGGTTCAGGCCCTGATGGAGAAAATCACAAAGGATATCCGCGGCGAAACCGTCCTAAGTGTGACTACTGCCATAAGATTGGTCATACTAAAGACAAGTGTTGGAAGTTACATGGGAGACCTCCTAGCTCAGCCAATGTTGCTCAGATCCCTCCATCTCCGGTTGTTCTATCTCCAGCTGAATATGCAGCATATCAGAAATTTAAGTTGAGTCACATGCTTGAATCTACACCTGGTACGTCTACCGCTTGTGTTTCAAACACCACAGGCTCATGGATTCTTGACTCCGGTGCCTCAGATCATAATTTCTGGTAATCCTTATCTTTTATCCCGTATTACCAAGCACCAACATCTTCCTTTAATTACTCTCGCTAATGGCCTTCAAACTTCGGCCACGGGTATTGGGCAAGCACTTCCACTTTCTTCCTTACCATTAGACTCAGTCTTATATGTTCCCAATAGCCCTTTTAACCTTGTCTCTGTCAGCAAAATTACACGTGCTCTTAATTGTTCTATAACCTTTTTTGCTGATTCTGTGACTGTGCAGGACCGTTGTACGGAGAAAACGATTGGCGTCGGACATGAATCTCAAGGCTTGTATCATCTTCATCCTCCTGATCCAATTGCTTGTGTTTCGGTTGATCATGCCATTACCTTACATAATCGTCTGGGCCATCCTAGCCTCTCAAAGTTTAGACGTCTGGTTCCAGGTTTCTCAAGTCTTTCATCTTTAGAGTGTGAGTCATGTCATCTTGGAAAGCAACCTCGTAAATCCTTTCCAAGACGGGTCAATAAACGGGCTGCGTCCCCCTTTGATTTAAAAGTTCATACAGATGTATGGGGTCCTTACCGAGTCACTTCTACTTTAGGATTTCGTTATTTTGTTATTTTTGTGGACGATTTTTCTCGTTACACATGGTTGTTTTTAATGAAAGATCGTTTTGAATTATTTCATATTTTTCAAAATTTTTGTGCTGAAATTCGCACTCAGTTTGGTCATTCTATCAAAATTTTACGTTTTGCGACACCCTTTAATCAATTCATGACATCACGGGGTATGCTTCATCAATCTTCTTGTGTTCACACGCCTCAACAAAATGGGGTTGCTGAACGCAAGAACCGACACTTGGTTGATACTGCTCGTACCTTATTATTACATTCCCAACACCACCTCAGTATTGGGCAGATGCTGTACTCACTGCGTGTCATTTAATAAATAGAATGCCTTCCTCAGTTCTAAATAATAAAATTCCCTATTCTATTTTGTTTCCTGCTAGTGATTTATTTCCATTACCACCTCATGTGTTTGGGTGTGTGTGTTTTGTCCATGATACGACACCTGGGTTAGCTAAAATGTCGGCTAGGTCAATAAAATGTATCTTTCTTGGATATTCGCGACTCCAAAAGGGTTATCGTTGTTATTCTCCAGTACTTAAGAAACATTTTATTTCGGCCGATGTCACTTTCATTGAGTCGTCCTCATATTATCCATTATCTTCGGTTGATACCCGATCATGTTTGGACTTCACCTCATATCTGCGACCCATCCATCTGGAAACTCCCATTAACCTCCCATCCGATGAGCACCCAAATTGCTCTCCTATGGCGGATCATCCATTACAAGTATACCATCGACGTCCTCGACCTTCTCCCATTGTGCCTACTGTGGCCACGCTAGTTGAATCCCCTATGACGGATCCCGCATCATCACCATCACATACCCCAGCACCCGAAAATACTCAGGATGATTTGCCCATTGCTCTCCGAAAAGGTACACGTTCTACTTTGAATCCATATCCCATATATAATTTTTTGAGTTATCACCGCCTCTCTACCCCGTACTATGCTTTTATTTCCCACCTGTCTCATATATGCATTCCTAAAACCACACATGAGGCATTGGCACACAGAGTGGCGTAAAGCCATGCTGGCTGAGATGGAGGCTCTTCATTCTAGTGGGACTTGGGACTTAGTCCCCCTTCCCACTGGCAAATCAGTGGTGGGATGTCGGTGGATTTACACTGTTAAAGTTGGGCCTGATGGGGAGATTGATCGTTTTAAAGCACGCCTTGTGGCGAAAGGGTATACTCAGATATATGGATTACACTGACACTTGACACTTTTTCTCCTGTAGCGAAGATTGCATCAGTTCGTTTGGTTTTATCCATGGTAGCAATGAGCCGCTGGCCATTGTTCCAATTGGATATAAAAAACGCATTCCTTCACGGAGACCTACACGAGGAAGTTATATGGAGCAACCACCTGGATTTGTTGCTCAGACTCCCTGGTATGGTGTGCAGATCACGCCGTTCATTATATGGCTTGAAGCAATCTCCGCGTGCATGGTTTGGGAGGTTTAGTGCCGTTGTCTGTAGCTTTGGCATGATTCGCAGTGATGTTGATCATTCTATATTCTACAGACATTCTGCTGACAACAAATGTATTTATCTTGTTGTGTATGTTGATGACATTGTCATTACAGGTAGCGATGATCAAGGAATTGTGCTCCTCAAGCAACATGTCTTTAGCAAATTTCAAACAAAAGACTTGGGAAAGTTGAGATACTTCCTTGGCATTGAGGTCGCATAATCTCAAAATGGAATTACTCTCTCACAAAGAAAGTATGCCTTGGATATTCTTGAGGAAACAGGGTTGCTAGATTGCAGGCCAGTAGATACACCAATGGATCCGAACGTTAAACTCTTATCAGAACAGAGAGATCTTTTGCCCAACAAGGAAAAATATAGAAGACTCATCGACAAATTAAATTATCTTACCATCACAAGACATCAAGAAAACTCCAGGGCAAGGATTGTTGTTTGAAGATCGAGGCCACCATGATATTGTGGGATACTGTGATGCAGACTGGGCCGGATGTCCGATGGATAGACGTTCCACTTCGGGATATTGCATCTTGATTGGTGGAAACTTAATTTCATGGAAAAGTAAGAAACAGGATGTGGTTGCCTGAAGCTGAATATCGTGCAATGGCCCTTGCCACATGTGAAATCTTATGGTTAAAGCATCTCCTCCAAGAGTTAAAATATGGAAACACAAAACCGGTTCAACTCATGTGTGACAATCAAGCTGCAATGCACATTGCATCAAATCCGGTATATCATGAGAGGACAAAACATATTGAAGTTGATTGTCATTTTATCCGAGAGAAGATCACGAGTGGACATATCATCACAAAATATGTGAACACAACTGACCAACTTGCAGATATTTTAACTAAGTCTCTTAGAGGTCCTAAAGTGGGATATATCTGTAACAAGCTTGGTACATATGACTTATATGCTCCAGCTTGAGGGGGAGTGTGAAAACCCTAGTAGTATTGGGCTTAGCCCACTTGTATATCTTGTATAGGAAACCCTAGTACTCTAAATATAGCTATAAATATAGCTACTTGTATAGCATTTGATCATCAAGTATATGAAATACAACAATACTTGTTCACATTATAATCAACAAAAATCCTTTATGTAATTAGCAAAAATAAATACAAGTATGCAACAACGTCCATGAGTAAAAACAGCAGGGGAATTTCTCGAAATAGGGGTAAAACAATGTGAAATTCCAAAATATGAGTACCCTGTTTTCCCCTCGAATAGAAGGAAATTACAGCCCTGTTTTCCCCTAGGCGTCCAAGAGCTGGGGATGGGTCGCCAAGAGTCATCGGCTCGCCTGAAGAAGATTATGCGAGATCTAGGCATCCATGGCACCGTCCAATCGTCTCGCCAGATTCGTTTTTAGATTTTGGAAACCCGATCAGCTATTCTTTAAAAAGTAGTTTCGTTATAATTATAGAAGACCGACTCTCATAGACATCTTACTTCATACGCAACGTAGACCAATGACGTAGTTGACACACGGTTTTCCATCGCAATCCTTCAAGGTAGATGACAACTTTTTCATTGCAGCTCCTTCCATCGCAACTCGCAAGGCGCAAGTTAAACTATGATATATTCTTTTAAGGCAGTTCCTTCACTCTTAATTAGTACTTCATATTAAACAGTTGATATTTAAATATTTAATTAGTATTATTTGGGGGGTTTTCCTTGAATGTTCCCCCATTGACACCAATTTAAAAAAATGTGACTACTTTTGCATACAGACAAATATGTGATTAAAAAGGTCAACTTTTCATGTCACTAACACTGTCAAACTGTCATATCACTTACGATGTCATATCACTTATGAATGTCACTGCCGCCATCGGCCGTGCCACTGAAGCCATTGTCGGTGTCACTTTCATCACCGGAAGTATTTTCACTAATTTTTTCCGGCGGATTTGAGTCAAAAACCCTAAGAATAGGAGGAAAATGACAAATATGAACCCAAGCTACAAGAACAAATCAGGGTTTCGAAATTGTGATCTAAATTCAATTTCAGGATGTTATATCCTAGATGTCCACTGTGTTTTTGAAGCTAAATTGGATGTTCTTGGCTTGAAAAGCTTATACCGCCATTAATGGCGGTCGTGCTTAAAAAATGAAGAATGATGAAAGAAGAAAGTCGATTATTGGAGGAAGGTGATGAAGAATTGGCAATTTCTTTGTTCGAACAAAACCGTTCCGATCGACTTGCTTTGCAACTCTTCTATTCTATGATTTTGTAGATCGATTGTAACCAACATCTAATCGGATATGTCACTAGAATACTCTTCTTGCTTGGATGTGCAAGATAGGAATTCAACACATAATCGACGGAGATTTAGATGTTGGATGAGTCGCTAGAATACTATTCTTTAATTGGATCGCTAGATTACTCAAATTGCTTTTCTCCTTCAACTCCACTCCTCTGACTTCCAAAAGAAAGAGAGGAATGGAGATCGTTCGATGGAGATTTGCAGTGGCTTGTAGGAGATGAAGTGCAGATTAATAAATTAAAAGGTAATCATAGTTTTGGAAAAATAAAAAACAATCATATTTTTGTCTTTCCAAAGTGTATAGGTAATATTTATGCCATTCTTTGTATTATTTGTTTGGAATTTTATATTTAATTACTATCATTTGTTTTTCTGTTTTTAGTGTAATTTAGTTTTCTTTATAGCCAGTTGTTTTTTATATATTTAGTAGTATTATACTACTCCCTTTGTCCCTTAAAACTTTGCTAAGTTTGACCGACACGGAGAATAATAAATTAAAAATTATATGATTGAATGATCAGGTATTCGACCCAATCACTCATTTCTCCTATAAAAACACCACCTTCCTTCCCATTTTAAAGACATACCAATCCCCTCTTGTTTTTGTAACGTAGATAGTCTTTTTAGCTTTGTTTTGCTGTATTGAAGCTTGTGATTTGCAAGTTGTGAATTATTTCTTTAATTCTCTTCTCCTGAATATTACTTACTTCCCTATTCATATTCCATGTTAGTATTTGAGCATCGCTAAGTGATCAATTAGTTTTCATATTGATTATTAGTGAAATCTATCATTGAATATCGCTTGTTACTCACTTGGTCCTTTCATAAATAGTAACTTTAGATTATTAATGAATGCGATTATATTGGTTGAACCGAAAAACCGCTTGTGTTGAGGTACTCAATTTTAATTAATTTCATTAGATGGCCAGTCGAGAAATAATGGCTAATAGTAAGGGTTATTACTCACCCCGGGTTACAAATTATCGTTCTTAATCAATTTCATTAAATTGACCGAATGCTACTATTAAGATCAATATGTGATGCTCGTTCTATAATGGCTATTAAGGAGTGTGTCTCGTTATTGATAGCTACAATTGATGAATTGGACGATTTAATCTCCACGATTAAGTATTCAAGAGGAGAGATTTGAATTAATAACCATGATCAACGATCACTTTAGTAGGTGAAAAATAGCAAAAACAAGGATATTTTAATTCATCCATATTAGTTTTTGCTTTTGGTTTCTCAATTATCACAATATCGTCCAAACCCCCCTTCCGTTTATTTTGATTTCTTATGCTTACACAAGCGTGAAAAGCACCTTTCCATGTGGATACAAACTCTACTACGCTATACTATAGTATTTGCTCTTAGTAGTAAATTTATTTCGAGGCACAAGCGACTTAAGTGCCGTCATGGAGTAGCTTTATCATCAATATACTGATCCAGATGGGAACCAAACATGAGGTTCAACACCTGGTCCAGTCATACAAGGTAGTTTGGCCCATCTATTTTTTCTGAAAATTGGTTAGGGCTGAGCATTATAAGGCCATCCGGTGTTAGAGAGTTATGGGCCGAGAGGGATGATGTCTGGCCAGCAATGGAGTTTTCAAGGTCTCCCTCCTCATGGAGGTCTTCTGGACGTTGACCTCGTTCCTGTCAGTAGCCATAGGAAGAAAGAAGAAGGAATAGTAGAAGACTGGTTGAATTTAGGGCGGTTAGAGCTCTTGTGGCTCCGATACCATATTGAAGTTTAAAAAGGAGAGGAAAATTCATTCATTCCCTGGTACATTTTGAAATTTATACAATGGTTTAGGTAGTCAATTAGGTAAGCTAGTAATTAAAATAAATCAAATGGTTTGCAATTGATATAACTGAAGATCCTAATGAATATGTGTAACTAACAACTTATTATTTTTTGGATCTTTCTGTAATAGTATCGTGTCCAATGAGTTATTCACTAACGTGAATTGCCATAAGAAATATGAATTAGTATATACAACAAGGTTGTTGTGGTAAATTGATTGTGCACCTAAAGTGATGGATTTAAAAAGTGATTGCTTTAAAGAAAGAAAAAACTAAAGATAGAAAGAAAGTGTGTACTTTGTCTCTGCCTGTAAAATGATTTGGAAATCTCAGTGGGAATTTTCTATTATAGTTATTTTAGAACCAATCCATAAGATTTCTCATGGTAGTTATCAGCCTTTCAAATTTTAGTGCTTGCATAATTGATTTTTTTTGTTTACTCCATAAAACAAATTTGGCAGATTACAAGAGTTTACAAGGAAAGAGAGCATGCTGAAGTTGAGTTTAGTGTATGTATGCAATGTATACTACTCAGTCATCTTATTTTTAAACATATGCAATGGTGATTAGAAGAGCGGAGAAAATGGTGATATTTCAGATAGGCCCCATACCTATTGATGATGGAATAGGGAAAGAGATCGTGACACGGATTACAACTGACATAAAAAGTAACAAGACATTTTACACAGATTCTAATGGGCGTGATTTCCTTGAAAGGGTATATATGTCATTTAATCACACCTCTCTTGTCTATACATACAAACACTGTCATAATTTAATTTCAAATTCACATAAATCAATATGTACACCTTCCTAAATTTTGCAGATTCGAAACTACAGAACAGATTGGGACCTTCAAGTGAATCAACCCGTTGCTGGAAATTATTATCCTGTATGTGTTTATGGACATGCATATTTGATTGAATAGCTTTCTGAATTATATGTGCAGATTCAAAAATATTCAAATCTAATTTTGGTTGGTAGTTTAGTCTATGTGAACTGATTGGCAATTGTTTTTTATGATGCTTGTTTGAATATATATCAAATTCGGTTGTCTATTGGGCTTGAGTTTAGTATGTGTTATTTAAACGTGAGGTAAACCTAACATCATGAAAATCCTTTTGGCATGAGATAAAACCATTTTAAGTATTTAACAATAGGGGGAAATAGTTAAAATATCCCAAACTTTGAAGGGGCGTGAGATGAACGCCCCAAACTTTCATATGTAATTTAATTACCCCAAACTTTATATAAAAAGTTATTTTAGCACCATAGTCAAGAATTATTTTTTTCAAAAATGTAAATTTATGGTGTTAATTGCGTAATTTAAAATATTTTAAAGTTCATGAAGACACAATTAACATTCTAAACTTGCATTGAGAAATAAATAATGTTAATCCAAATCTATATAATTGCAACACTTTTAATTTTCTATTTTAAATTATGCAATTAACCCCATACATTTCTATTTTTGCAAGAAATAATACATGAAAATGGTGCAAAAATAATTTTTTAAAGGGAAAATGGAAACTAATAATCCAACCTTTTAGCGGTCTTCTTACAATAGTCCCACCTTTTGATTATTCATGAATAATCCAACCTTTGCACCTCATCTTCATTCACTGGTCCCTGACCGGTTGATGACCTACTATTCCAAGTTATTTTCTTATCTTTGCAAAATATTATCTTTGTGAAAGGTGAGATTTATGGTGTAATGGTTTGCAAAGATAAGAAAATAACTTGAAATAGTAGGTCATCAACCGGTCAAGGACCAGTGAATGAAGATGAGGTGCAAAGGTTGGATTATTCATGAATAATCAAAAGGTGGGACTATTGTAAGAAGACCGCTAAAAGGTTGGATTATTAGTTTCCATTTTCCCTTTTTTAAATATAGTTTGGGGTATTTAAAATACCTATTCAAGTTTGGGGTGTTTACCTCACACCCCTTCAAAGTTTGTGGTATTTTTATTATTTTTCCCTTAACAATATCAAAGCTCAACTTGAACTTCGTCATGAGACTATTTTTTAGTATCATGTCTATCCCAACTAATAGTATAACTTAATCACATCATATGACATGAATTAGAATATGAATATCACCATTTATAACTCCAATTACATATGTTGTTGCATCGAATCTCAACTTGATGGTGGTTTGTGTGGTGCCTAACCACAAGGTCGTTTCAGCCCCATTATATATTTTGGCCCGGTTTTTTCATTAATTTCTTTAATTGATTTCCCGATTGAACTTTAAGCTGAAATTTGTGGATATAATCTACACTTCATGTGGAACATGCTCAAAAAATTTCATCAAAAAATCCACCAGGAACAGCCTCAAATCGCGTCGGCCAGGCGGCGGTTCCGGTCAAGAAGTCTTGACCGGAAGATTGCTTTATGTATATCATTCATTTATTCAATCAGTTTCATTTACCCCAGTGCCGAAAAGGCTCCCACCTACGGTGGAGTAAGGGGGGGTCGGATGTACGCAGTCTTACCCTTGTACTAAAGCACAGAGAGACTGTTTCCGGATGACCCATAGTGAAAATCGCGTCCAAAATTGCATGGACTGACTGCTGCTTCATAAAGATTACTTTATGTATATATCTATACAAATTCCGGATCAAATAAGAACAACGAGATCGCGAGGACAAACACTTTAACCTCAATGTGAGGCACAATAAAATTCATTTGATGCACTTTTTTGTGTTGACATAATATTTATCAAAAAGCCATCGTGTTTATTTGATAATGGCTTGATTCGGCCGAATTTTAAAAAAGCACAATAGACGTTCTTCATTGTGCATAACATGTAAAAGTGACTATTTTCACGTTCTCACGATAAGGTTTGTTCTAATTTGAACCGTACTTTAAATGTGTATATATATGGATGCTAAAAAAATAGATGCTTGTGTGTACAGTGTACACATATAAGTGGGGTAAGCCTCTAGCGGCAGTTTCTGGATGGAAGTTTGTTTGAGATCTTAGAACATATTATTTCCAAGATAATATGAGATGAACAATTTCTTTCTCTGAGCCCTACGTTTGACATTTGTTCAATCTCCCATTCAGATTAATCTTGGAACATACATAAAAGATGGCAACACCGAGCTCTCAATCTTGGTTGATAGGTCTGTGGGAGGCTCTAGCCTTACTGATGGCCAATTGGAGCTCATGCTTCATAGGTAGGCTTGTTTTGCCCATTTCTAGCTACTTACGTGCTTTAGATATTGCTCTTATTATTGTTGTTGTTGTTGCTTGGGTTGTTATTGATTATTTTGTTCCTACTTAGTTGTATACTAAGTGGCATGGGAACTCGAAACAAGAAATGTGAAACGTGGAATACTTTTTTTGAAAATGATAGGATGCAAGATGTCTTTTTATCTTTATCTTATTTTTTTTCATTATTATTCCTATCTTATCTTTATATCGTTTTTATCTTAGCTCTCATTTCATATGTTAATTCATGTTAGCTGACCCCAAGCTCGTTTGGGACTAAGGGTTGAATGTTGTTGGTTTATAGGATACAAAATGTGGGGAAGCATGTAATTATAAAAAATATAGCAATATATTTACAAATGTTTTTTCATATATGTATGTATGTATACTTGATTTTTCATGTATAGAAATCCATAAAAAACCCACTTTCAGACCTAGGTAGTTAAATACAGTATAAGTATGAGAATTAAACGTGGTTCCATGCATACACGTTTTATTTTGTAATGTGAACTAATTAAATGGTCAAAATTTGTTGAAAAAAGCATGACTTTTAAAAGATGTGTAAATACGTACACGTGTATAATGCGGTATATTTTAAAAAAAGTCAGACAAAAAATATGGGTCCTGTGTTGAACATTTAAGCTATATAGGTCCTAGAAAACATATAGTAAAAAGAAATCAAATTACACACATATTCAAATAGCAAACCTCTTTACTACATCAAAGAATAATTCCTAATAGCATAATAATCTAATATGTCAAGAGAATAACCCATTATAATGATAGAATAAGAGCAAGTTAATATAAACATCTTAATCTTAATCTCATAACATCCATGTTAAACTCATCATCTTCAATTCATCACCATCATCTTCTATGGAAAGACAATTTGAGGCAACAAATTTATACTAGAAAAGCCTAAGATTTAGAAAATCCTTAATTTTGAGATGTCTATTAAGAAAAAGCTAGAAACCTATTAGTATTCTATGTTTTATTCTCTTAAGACTCCAGGCTGCCATGTATTTACTTTTAGTATTTAATAATTGAAAATTTTGTATTGTAACAATAAACATTGAACTCATTCATAGGGACTTTCCATTAGTTAGATTTCACACGCGGTCATGGTGATGATGTTTTTATTTTTCACTTAAATTATTATTTATCTCTATGCATTGTTTTCATTCAATTGACCAATTCATGTTTCCGTTTTTTGTAAAGTACGACAAAATATCGGGAGGAAAAGTCCCCCCCCCTTTTTAAATGGAGTTTTTCCCGAATTAATGCGAATTAAAAAACTATTTACGTAAATAACGCCGGGTTAAAAGTACTTACAGATAGATACTGCTGGGCTTAACCCGGGTCGGGCAAAGTCGCAAAAACAGAAACATCAAAAAACAGATAAAAAACAGAACATAATTTGACTGAAACATGACAATGCACCTGATCACAAACATAGTACAGACACCCAATATGCATAACCCAACACATACAATAGTTTGCAGGTGGACATACATAAAAAAGTAAAGTGTTTCACATATCGAAAAAACTTCTACAACATTCGGGGTACATCTATAAGTCCAATAATGTTCATTACAAATGATGTAATAGAGACAGACGACAAGTTTTCATGCTCTTCTTGATCGTCTTGGTCATGGAGATGTGGTTGAAAAATAACTCTATCACGCCGACTCTAAGATGTAGAAGCTGTTGCGGTAGATGTCGATGCCATAGAATCCTGAGAGAGTGAGAGGTCATCTGTACAAGATGCCCATAGTCCACTCACTGTCCACGTCATGCGTCTCACTCACTGTGCTAGTGGTTTGCTCAACTATACGCTGCAAAGCCCATGTCTAAAATGTGCAACATGAATTATAATTATTTTCAATTAAAAAATGTTAAATAAAGAACATGAATTACTTTAGTAGTTACTAACACACTTATCGTCAAGTGCAAAGCCATGGAACTAGGTTGATAATGGTGAGTAGGGAGCCTGGAAGGAGAGACAAACAACCGTGTAATACCATCTCATGTAGTCTAAAGAAACGAAATCGATGGATGTAATGTCAGCACCCAGTCACAACAAGCTCCGCTCGCCTCTCCCATATAGTGACGTATCAGACATGTCTGAGCGATCAATCCTCTGTAGGCTTCCCATGCCTATCCAGCTTATGAAGATCCACACATGTGTCCACAACTGTAGGAACGACCTGCTCATAGCCAAACTAACGCAGTACACGAGCAGACAAATGAAGCTCAACAATTTCAAAACATATCAATGGCACACGTGCTCGCCATATATCATAATGCTCTCGTCCTGCCGGGGGCAACTCCTCTAACACTGTATATGACATCCATGTAATCTCTTTCATAAGGTAAAAAATGAGTCTTACTGTTATTCATATGATAGGTAATGTTATATTATGTACACCAAACCTGATCATCAGACATGTGATCAAATGCATCCCTATAGTAGCTGAGCCCAGCAACCGATGATGTGCGAGAAAGATAAGCAAATAGCCATCTAACCATTCATGTAGTATATATTAATATAAATATAATTAATATAAATATTCAAAACATACAATAAATAAAAGGTACTCTTCGAAAACATACTGACGCCCTAGAGGGTTCTCGCCCCGTCGATGATGTGGTCCAAGGAGTCGTGGAGGCTGGTCATGAAGTGGGTGTCCATCTAGCCCTTGATATCGTACTATAATGGGGTGGCCAATGTGAATTACTCCTATGACCAAATCTGTAATAACAACAAAAAAACCCAATCTCTGTGCTCCCACTCTGACAAACTCGACACAGCTGCCTATACAGATAAGCTAGAGTGGCATTACCCCAATTGAAGTATGCAGCGGAATCAAAACTCTCTAGCATCGGTAAATACAAAACCTGAACCTCATTTCCACTCTTGTTAGCAAAAGTGGTAGCTCCCATCCGCTGAATCATCGTCAAAATGTATGCTCGTGCATGCTGCTGAATCATCACATCATCTGCATCGAGAGGAAACACAACGAAATGCTCCCTCAGCGATGACATCTTCAGAGATGACCCATGAATGTCTTTCCGGAGAAGGGGCTAACACCCAACAATCGCTCCACATCCTCAACCCGTGGTCGACATGCAGTACCTGTAACTAACTGCTCTCCCATGTACTTGTAAGCCCGTCAGTACAACTATATTCCTCAAGATCACTGTCACCTCACCAACTGGAAGGTGAAATGTGTACGTCTCCTGCCTACAACGCTCAAGAAGAGCAGTGACTAGAGCTCTATCAAGTGGGACAATAGACATCAATCCGTGAACACAAAAAAACCCGCTACTCTAACATACGTTAACTCTATCGTCCACCTGCACGTGGAACAAACTACAAAGGTGTTCTCGACACCTATCAACCTGCAAATCGAGGCCACGCCACACGTCCTCAGTCCTATGCATGGCCTGCAATGTGAGGACATAATCATCAAGCAGCCATGGATCCACTGTCACCTCCATAGTGCCTACAATACATGAAAACATGTGTTAGTCATTAATTAATTAATAAATTTACATGGATTACTCATTTTTTAATCATATTAGTAGGAGTTGTGGATTTTAAGAGTTAAAACCTTACTCAGTGGACCCCTCACCATCTCCTGAAGATCTCTTCGCACACGTGGCCCTATTATGGCCAGTTTGTTTAGAGATTCCACATCTAACGGTTCCTCTTCCACCTTCATCCATCTCATTCTTAATTCGTGTGGACTTGGGTTGTTCCTTTGCACGAAGCATGGATAGATCGTGCACAATTCGTGATCCAGTGTTAGTTGGCCAATTAGCACGATCGGGAATGAGTTTGAAACGGCATATGGGGAAGATGAGAAAAAAGGATCCACAAAAGTATGGTAAACTACGTTATCTACACACAACTAATACGTTATCTACACACCTTGTCTCTAGAAAGTCCACTAGAAAAGTGATATTAGCGAATTCGTTTTTTAAAAATAATCCAAATAGAGCCGAAAAATCCAAAGAGAACGATAGTTTGTTGGTCTCCTTGACGAAGCGCACCTCCCAGTATTTTTCTTTTAATTTTTCGGTGGCTTTTGAAAAGCGTAGTTAATTTTTCTAATAGCGTTAGATGCCATGCCCCAGCTGTGATAACGGAATTGAAACACGTCCCACTTTGTTAAAAAATGAAATATGTGCCCCTATCTGAAAACGGTCCAAATCAAACCACATGTACGTTTTCTGTACTTTTCCCTATTATTTTTGTTGTTGTTATCATTATTTTGGTCTTAGAGAAGGTTATAGTCAACTAAAGTACAACTTTTTAATCTTAAGCAGGGCGCACCTTTGGAAATCGCTGATTCTAACTGTATATTTTTTTATTGGTTGAAATAAGTTTAACATACTTCAACTTTTTGGCACCTTTTTCGGAAAAGGAATACATTAAATATAATGAGGATTGTTGCTCTTTTTGTTTTTGTTTAGATATGTTGTTCTTTTCTGGGAAAAAAGGTTTTGTAAGTGAACTGTAATTTGTGGACGGAGTTTTATTTGTCCTCCTTTCTTTATAGTTTATACTGTGCCATGCTATGGTTTTTATCGTGAGGTATCACAAGTTTGAATTGCAACCTTTATTTTGCCTTCCTTTAGGAGACTGCTTCATGATGATGGCAGAGGAGTCGGTGAAGCACTAAATGAAACAGTATGTGCCTCACAGAAATGTGAAGGGCTAACAGTAAGTAAAAATGTTCTTCTTTCCATGTTTAGAATTGAACTTTGATCTGTTCTTTAGGGGCAGTTTGGTCACAGAGGACTTGATGGATGGACTGTACTATAAGGGCAGTTTGTTCAGGTTAAAGTTTTAATAAAATGGCTGGAATGACTGAGTCAACTGAATGTGCTGAGGATTTGTTTGTTTTAATATTATCAGAGAAGAGAGGAAAGAAAAGAGGGAAAGAGAGGAGAAAAAGCTTATTGAGTTCTTCCCATTGTTTGGTTACTATGGTGTAGGAAAGATAGAAAGAAAAAAGGCGGGGTCCAACTACGCTTTTGTTTCTCTCCAACTGGCTGAAGAAAAGGAGAAAAAGACTCAACATCTTCTTATTTTTCTTTTTTATATTTTTACATTTATACCTTTTTCTTTCTTCATTGTGGTATTTTTAAAATTTATGGCGTACTTTTGTCTTTCCCGTATAGAACACACATTTCTCCCCCCATAAAGAAACGACCAATATTATTAATTACCAAAATGCATACGGGGGGGGGGGGGGGGGGGGGGGCGTAGAGCATACCCCTGAAAGATACAAAAATATGTTTTCTTTCTTTTACCAAACAACACTTATAAGTACAATTTTCTCTCTTTCTCACTCTTTTCTTTCTTCAAAGAAATTTCTTTCTCTCTTTGTTTCTTCTGTAGCTCTCTTCTCAACTAAGTAAAGTGGTGAGAGTGTGACTAAAATGATTGAGTTGACTCAATCATCTAACAACTTATTTAAAAGGGAATTTCTAAAAAGGAATTAAAAGAAAGAGTGTCTAGAAGATGATGGTATATGTTTTATTTAAAATGAATCCAGCACTGTGTTTTTTAAAAAATTAATAGCATATTACTATCCATTAAGGCCTTAAATACAACTACATTGCTCATGTTGTGCTTTCATAATGGTTCTTTCAGGTTAAAGGGAAATTCTATGTTAGAATTGATCCTCTGGGAGAGGGCGCTAGGTGGCGTCGATCTTTTGGGCAAGAGATTTATTCCCCATTTCTTTTAGCATTTTCAGAGCAGGTCAGGAAAGACTTAATTTTTGCATCTTGAAAAAGTTTAATTCTTGCAACATTTCCTAATTACATGGGGTCATTTTGCAGGACATAAATCAAGGAACAAAGTTTCATATCCCAACATTTACTATGGTTGACCCTTCTTATAGTCTTCCTGATAATGTTGCAATTGTCACACTACAGGTATACCGTAGGAGTAGGGGTTATTAGGTTGGTTGATTTATGAGGGGAAGGGAGTGAAGGAGATGTTTGATTCTTGTTTTTAGTTGCCCGTTTTAACTACAATCTTACTATTTGTTTAGGTTGCGGTTTGTATGCCTTATTTTCAAAGAATAGAGGAAGAAAAATACTTTGTACTTTGAAAAGAAGCATTTGGGAGGGAAATGAGGGAAAGTGCTTTTAACAAAAAAAAAGACTACATTTTCAGCGCTTATTTAAAGGACATCATATTGGATTTGTATAAAAAATCATTTCAAGTGCTCAAATGAGAGACCATTTGTGAAAAGCGCTTGCACCAAAAGTTATCCCACACAAGCTTTTAGTCAAATCTATACTTTTAATATAAATTCTCGTTTTCATTTTCTTTCTTACCACGTGAGTGCAATAAAATAATAATAATAATAATAATCAAGGTATGGCATAAAGTGTTGGGCGGTAAAACTATGTTACATTCAAAAGATGTGTATGTTGCGTTGGATGTGTAGACATAGCAAAAAGGTGGGAGTAACACCTATAGTAGATAAGATGTAGGATTCCCTAAAAAAATGTAGGAGTTTTGGTTGCGGTGGTTTGGTCATGTGCGTAAAAGATTGAGTGATGCACATATTAGACGAGTTGAGAGGTGGGAGAAGAGGGAGAGGAAGACCTAAATAGATGTGGATTAGAGGAATCAAGAGGGCGTTCGTGAGTTGGATGAGAGTATGGCGTTCGAGAGAGCAAAGTGGAGAGCAAGTATTTGGGTGGAGGATTGATTTCTTTTCTCTCCTTTTTCCTTTTATCTTTCTTATGTTCATATTCCTTTTATCGTTTTATTTATATTTATATTTATATATATTCTTTTTATCCTCTTTAACTTATCTTTTTATCTCGTTTATCTTTCTTTTCTTTTTGGCTTCGATGTCATGTATCGATTCATGTTAACTGATCCCAAATTCTTTTGTTACTAAGACTTCGATGTTGTTGTATCACCCCTCCCCTTTAAAAATCTTCAACCAAACAATGGTTGAATCTCCTTCTACAATAAAATATGCTTCCAAGTTCCAAATGCATGTAGAAGCATGAAACAACTACTTCCCTTAAATTTCTATTATATGAAAATTACAGGAGCTTGAAGACAAGACCGTTCTCATTCGCTTGGCACACTTATACGAGGTTAATTCTATTTCTAAATTATATTAAATTTTCTGTTATATCATGGGTAACTTGATTTTACTTTTAAATTTCAACGAGGAAAAAATTTCTTTAATGGACTTTGTTTATTTAATGAAATTCTTTATGACTTGTGAAAAGTAATGGCATGGTTCCTATACTTGATGTTAATTGCTATAGATGTAGCTATATTTATAGCTACATTTTAAACTAGGGTTTCGTATACAAAATTGGCTAAGCCCAACACAACTAGGGTTTCCATACCCTCTCAAGCTGGAGTAAATAAATCACACGCATCAAGTTTGTTACAAATATATTCCACTCTAAGAGATCTAGCTAAAACATCTGCAAGTTGATTAATTGTGTTAACATAATTTGTGGCAATATATCAATTCGTGATCTTGTCTCGGATAAAATGACCATCAATTTCAACATTTAGTCGTCTCATGATATACTAGATTTGATGTGATGTGCATTGCGACTTACTTGTCACACATGAGTTGAACAGGTTTTGTGCTTTTATACGTTAGCACTTGGAGGAGAGCCATTGCACGATATTATGCTTGAGCACTAGATCTGACAACCACACCTTGTTTCTTATTTTTCCCATGAAATTAAGTTTCCATTGATCAAGATGCAATAACTCAAAGTAGAATGTCTATTCACTGGGCATCCAATCCAATCTACATCATAGAACCCCACAATATCATGGTGACCTCGATCTTCAAAGAGCAATCTTGTCCCGATGTTTTCTTAATGTATCTCAAGATTTGGATATCTACATCCCAATGTCCATTACATGGCTTATCAAGGAATATCTGGTCTCATGATGGTAAGGTAATTTAGTTTGCCAATGAGTCTTCTATATTTCCCCTCTTGGGCAAAATGCTCTGACAAGAGTTTGACATCGGATCCATCAGTGTATTCATGGGCACTCTAGCATACCTCTTTCCTCAAGAATGTCTAAGACATACTTTCTTTGTGAGAGGGTAATTCCATTTCGAGACTTAGCGACCTCAATGCCAAAGAAGTACCTCGGTTTTCCCAAGTTTTCTGTTTGGAATTCGCTAAAGAGGTTTTGCTTGATGAGCTTAATTCCTTGTGCCATCAACATATACGACGAGATAAATACGTTTATTGCCTACAAAATGTCTGTTTGAATGATTAAAATCACTACGAATCATGCCAGACTCACGGATAACGACACTAAACCTCCCAAACCAATACATAGAGATTGGTTCAAGCCATATAAAACGACATAATCTGCCCATCAAACCAGACTCTCAAACCCCCTTGTGTTATTATTACGAAAAGTGATTTTAAAATTGTTAAATTCATTCACAAAAGGGGTTCTGCGCATGAATATTTATAACATAGGGGGGATTTGATGCATTTTTAAATCACAGGGGTTAATGCACTGAATTTCTATATCACAAGGGGTTTCGTGCATTAAACCCAATTTCCTATGAGGACCAATCAATATATATTCACCAACATCCAACAACTAATTTTCTTGTAGAAACAGAAATTAAGTCACATGTCCCACCAAAATGAAGAGCCTCCATCTTAGCCAATGTGGTTTGACACCACTGCGGGGTGTGCCAGTGCCTCATGTATGGTCTTAGAAATGGAAATTTTAGAGACGTGTGAAATAAATGAAAAGTAAAGCGCAGAGAAATATGAGATTCCGGTTCAAAGTAAAGCACACACCTTTTGTTGGGTAATTGATGGCGGTGATATTGGATCCATCGTAGGGAATCAAACAGACGTGGCCACGATAGGCTCAATGGGAGGAGGTCAAGGATGTCGATAGTACATTTGTAATGGATGGTCTGCAATAGAAGGACATCCGGGTGCTCATCAGATGCGGAGCCTATAGGGTTTCTATATGGAGGAGCGAAAGATATGAGATCAAACCCAAACATGACGGGGTATCAATAGAAGAGGATGAGTAATAAAATGAAGACCCAATGAAAGTGACATCAGCCGAAACAGAGTGTTCCTTTAATAATGGAGAATGGCAATGATATCCCTTTTGGACTCGTGAATATTTAAGGAAGATACAACTAACTGACATTTTTGATAACCTAGGTGTTGTATCATGGACAAACACACACACTCAAACACATGAGGTGGTAATGGAAATAACTCACAAGTTGGAAACAAGACATAATATGGAACTTCATTATTAAGATCCAAGGAAGACATTATATTTATTAAATGACATGCAGTGAGAACAACATCCACCCAATATTGAGGTGTTGTGTGTGAATGTAATAACAAGGTACGAGAAGTATCAACTAAATGTCGGTTCTTGCGTTGAACACAGAAAAACTGATGAAACATACCCCATGATGTCATGAATTTATTAATGGTTTTTGCAAAAAAAAAATAGCATTGTAATTGTGTAAAATTTTGATAGAATAACCAAACTATGTGTGTATTTCGGCATAAAAGTTTTGAAAATATGAAGCGATTCAAACCTAAAGTGAATGTGCCTCGATAGAGATCCACACATCTATATGAACCGAATTAAAAGCGGGTGCAACGTTGCAACCCGTGTATTGACCCGCCTCATAAAGGATTTACAAGATTGCTTTCCAAGGTGGCATGAATCACAATTTAAAGATGAAATTCAAGAGAAAACCTAGAACCATATGTCAAAACTTTGAGAGACTAGATGACCCAAACGGTTATGTAAGCTAATTGTAGGTTCAGCCGACACAAACAATGCGATCAAGTGGATGAAGATGATACAAGCCTTGAGATTCACGTCTGACACCAATGTGATCAAGAGGATGGAGATTGCTCGGTCATATAATCAACAAAAAAGGTTATAAACAATTAAGTGTACATGTAACTTTACTAAATAAGACAAGGTTAAAAGGGATTTTAGGAACATAAAATACGAGTCTAAATGTCTACTGGTAAGGATGAAAGTGTGAGTGCTTGCCCAGGGTAGGTGGTTGAAGTATGAAGGTAATTAGAGAAAGTAGTTAAAGGAAGGTTTTGGTGCTTGGTATTTCGGGATAAAAGATGGAGATTACCAGAGGCAACTGAGTCAATGATCCATGAGCCAATTGTGTTTGAAACGCAAGATGTAGACAAGGTCATATGAGTCGAGATGAATTTCTGCTATGCTTCATATTCGGTCAGAGGTAGCACAACTAGAGATGGTGGGATCTGAGCAACATTGGCGGAGTTAGGAGGTCTCCCTTGTAACTTCCATCCTGTCATTAGTATCATCAATTTTTTGAAAAAAATCACAGTTAAGACGGTTTCGCCGAGGGTATCCTTTGTGGTTTCCTTTTTCAGTCTCAAATCTTGGGATGCAAGAAGGATTGTCACCAGAACACGATTCAGTATATATCGGGGCCGCTCATAGAGTTCAAGCAAAGGTCCCTGTCATAGTAGGAACAATAAAATTTGAGAGAATTTGAGATATCGACAACAACTTTAGGCGAAGACCTGCCAATGCTAAAAGCATACCAAGTTGTCTTTGCTTGGAGATGTTTCTCCCTATCTTCTGTGATAGGTTGAATGGTATTATACTCAAATAGTGTGTCCAATTCCTGTTGCTTGAGCATGACAATTTTGGAGCCAAACAAAAATAGACTTTGTAGGTTTTGGGAATAAAATTCCTTGATTGAATATGCCAATCGGCTGGGGTATAAATACAGGATGTACAAGTAACAAACTACCAGAGTAGATCCTATTTTTTAGGATCTCACTAACTACAATCTTATCAATAAGCAACACCTTCTAATATGATCTAATCGACTAGTCTTCTAATCTAATCTATCCGGTAATTATGTACACAAAATAATAAAGAAATTAATGTAACATTTTCTACACTCCCCCTCAAGTTGGTGAATATATATCATACATTCCCAACTTGTCTATAAGTAGTTCAAACACTGGTTTAAATAACCCTTTGGTGAAGATATCAGTTGTTTGGTCTTTAGTGGATACGAATGGTGTGCAAACAGTTCCAGCTTCAATCTTCTCTTTAATGAAATGTCTGTCCACTTCAATGTGCTTGGTTCTATCATGTAGCACAGGATTACGAGCAATGATAATAGCTGCTTTATTATCACAATACAGTTCTATTTCCATCTTCAGTTCTGTAATTACTCTCTTGATCCAGAGTAATTCACATATTCCATTAGCCATAGATCTAAATTCTGACACACCTCTTCAAAATGGGGTTGCAGAAAGAAAGAACCGACATCCCTTAGAAACTGCAAGGGCTCTTCTATTCCACCTAAAATATTTGGTTGCACTTGTTTTGTTAGAGATGTTAATCCTCATCTTACTAAGCTAGATCCCAAATCATTAAAATGTATTTTCTTGGGTTATTCTCGAGTCTAAAAGGGGTATAGATGTTTTTGTCCGAGTACAAGTCGGTATCTTGTTTCTATTGATGCACCATTTCATGAAAATACACTTTTTCATCATCTAAGACAAATATTCATGAGAATAATGATGATATACTCATTTACACAACGACTATTCTCGAGTCTACACTTTCGACAAGTATTCCACAAGTTACTGTTCCTGATCCTAGGCCTCCCATACACTTGGTATACACCCGTCGATACAAATCTCCTGAACACCCTCCACCGGCGACACCTGTGATTACTTATCCTGATACTAGTTCAACTTCGATCTCATGTCCTGAACCAGTACCTGCATCTTCAGATCTTGTCTCTACATCAGATCTTGACCTCCCAATAGCACTATGTAAAGGTACACGGTAAAGGTACACGGTCTTGTACTCATCCTATTTCTTCATTTGTGTCGTATAGTCAGTTATCCCCTGCCTCATGTTCTTTTATAGCTTCCATTGATTCTATTTCTATTCCCAAATCTGTTAAAGAGGCTTTGTCCCATCCTGAATGGCGTCTTGCCATGATAGAAGAGATGAATGCTTTGGATCTTAATGGTACTTGGGATTTGGTAGACTTGCCTAAAGGGAAAAATCTATTGGATGTAAGTGGGTCTTTGCTGTAAAGGTCAATCCAGATGGATCTATTGCTTGGTTGAAAGCTCGATTAGTTGCGAATAGTTATGCTCAAACCTATGGTGTTGATTATTCTGACACTTTTTCTCTTGTTGCTAAATTGACATCTGTCAGGTTACTTATTTCACTTGCTGCAACTAATGGTTGACACTTGAATCAGCTAGACATTAAAAATGCATTCTTGCATGGTGACCTTCAAGAGGAAGTTTATATTGAGCAACCTCCGGGGTTTGTTGCTCAGGAAGAGTATGGGAAAGTTTGTCGACTTCGCAAGTCTCTTTATGATCTGAAACAAAGTCCGCGTGCATGGTTTGGGGAATTCAGTCAATCAATTGAAAAGTTTGGAATGATAAAAGGACAATCAGATCACTCCGTCTTTTACAGACAAACAGAAGCAGGTATCACATTGCTTGTGGTGTATGTTGATGATATTCTGATTAGAGGGAGTGATAATGCAGGTATTTTGGCCCTTAAGAATTTTCTGCACAGTCAATTCCAGACGAAAGATCTTGGCTCATTGAAATACTTTTTGGGAATTGAGGTAACACGAAGTAAGAAAGACATATTTCTATCTCAACGTAAATATGTACTTGACTTACTAGCTGAGACAGGGAAATTAGGGGCAAAACCAAGTACAACACCCATGGTTCCCAACGTGCAACTCACTCAAGAAGGCACACCGTTTGAAGACCCAGAAAGATATAGAAGATTGGTTGGAAAGCTTAATTATCTCGCGGTCACTCGTCCAGATATTGCGTATTCTGTGAGTGTAGTGAGTCAATACATGTCATCTCCAACCATTGATCATTAGGCTGCCGTAGAACACATATTATGTTACTTAAAGGGTGCACCAGGACGAGGTATTGTTTATCAAAACCACGACCACATGAGAATAGAATGTTTTGCAGATGCTGATTGGGCCGGTTCTAAAGATGATCGAAGATCTACATCTGGTTATTGCATCTTTGTTGGTGGTAATCTTGTATCTTGGAAGAGTAAGAAACAAAATGTGGTTTCTCGTTCGAGTGCTGAATCAGAATATCGAGCTATGACACAATCTGCATGTGAGATACTGAGATCATATGAATAAGCCATTTATTGACTGAGCTCGGATTGAAGACATCAATGCCGGCTAAGTTGTGGTGTGATAACCAAGCTGCTATATACATAACAAACAATCCTGTATTTCATGAGAGAACAAAGCATATTGAAGTTGATTGCCATTTTATTCAAGAGAAGATACAAAAAGGATTGATCTCTACCGGCTATGTGAAGACTGGAGAACAACTTGGAGATTTATTCACTAAAGCTCTAAATGGGATTCATGTTGATTACTTATGTCACAAGTTGGGCATGATAAATATCTATGCTCCAACTTGAGGGGGAGTGTGAAAGAATTATTGTATATAAGAATATGCTTTATGAATATACTCTAGGCATTATTATTGTATAGCATCTTATGTAGGAATATTCCTTCTTTGTAACCTATATATAGGGCCTTAACCCTCTAATATTAAATACAGAAAATCCTTCTCTCCATGTTCAATATCATTCTAGTGTATGCTTTAACAATTCTTGGCCAGAAAATTGTTGGCCAGAATAGAGTCCCTTTTCATAAAATCTACAAAAAGCATTGAACAGGTAAAATATGATAGGGTAACCTCAGATGGACGTGGTGCTTTTTGTGTTAATTTACTAGGTCTCCTGTTTCAGTCAAGCATATTGTAAACTGAGTAATAGAGATTAAAGATGCAATGAAATCACAGTTTTATTATTCATTGGGTATAGCTGGTATAAATACATACAAGCTAGAGAATATAAAAGGAAACTAAATCTGCCAGATTTACATAGAACATTTACTCTCTCACAGAGAATATATCAACTACCATATATATACATAGAATATATTGACTAATAAATATGTATATTCTAACACATATGATGGCCCAGGCCATGATAAAAAATTGTTTGGCCGAAGGCTCTCTCTCTCCCTCCGCTGAACTACATTGTTGCTGATATTCCTTGTAGCAGAAAATATAAACTGACCTTGGCTCCTTGCTTTAAGAGAAGACTAGTTACTCCACTGCATTACACTGGAGTGAAGTACCTAAATAGAAGCTTAAATGGATTAAATAAAAAGTAAAACAATCTTGATAGTGAATCAATTAACTGAAAACTTTAAATAAAATCAAAAGCTTGCAAGTCTTCCCTTTTCATTTTGACAAGAAGTTGCTCCGAAGACTTGAACCCGTGACCTCCCGGTCACAAAGCAACACCGTAACAGGTGCACTAAGGCTCCCTTTAACGGATAATATATGATAAATTTAGTAAATGTCAATAAAAATAAAAATAAAAATATAAGCAGGACTTGTCACTTTTAGCATTTTTACATTCTTAAAATTTTAAAAGGTGTACCTTGGTCAAATGACCTCTTTTCTTATTATTCTTTTAATATTTTATTTGTCACCGTAGGAAAATTGTAATTTGTTCTTTATTTTGTTTTATTTTATTTTATTTTGTTTCACAATGTTGCCTAAGATCGTTTTGCACACTTATATGACTCTGCTTTTTTGTTTTTTTTACAGGTTGAAGAAGACAAAGACCTCTCGACTCTAGCCACTGTAGAGTTGAAGAAATTGTTCCCAGACAGGAAGGTGAGAGAACAAATCACACTTCCACCCCCCAACCCCCCAAGAAAAGATAGGAAAAATTTCTTGTCCTTGACATATTATCTTTAGTAAACATCATATCCCTAACTGTGCCTCCAGATAAACAAAGTCAAGGAAACAAGTTTAAGCGCAAACCAAGAACGAGAAGAAATGGAAAAGAAAAGGCTAAAATGGAAAGTTGACGGTGGTCTTTCCAACAGATGGAATTCTAGAGGCCATTCTGTAGATCCCGATGAGCTGGTCGTGGAACTCGCCCCAATGGAAATTCGCACCTTTGTTGTGGAACTTGGCTCTAGATTATCAATGGGAGTGTAAGATAATGCTTCTTTAGTACTCCCTCCATATCTTACTAGTTGTTCTTATAGGGCTTTTATGAAGATAATGCTTCTTTAGTACTCCCTCCATATCTTACTAGTTGTTCGTATAGGGTTTTTATGAAGATAAAATAGTAGTAGTATATAGTGTAAAAATAAAAGAGGGTAGATGAAAGAAGTATATTAAAGATAAGGTGAAAACTAATAAAAAGATAACGAAAAGTAAAGTAAAAATCACAAAATTAGAAATTAATAAAATAATAAAGTATTTGAGTTTTTTCCCGGAATAATGCTAATTAAATAAATAATTCCCAAAATACTGCCGGGTTAAGAATAATTTCCAAAATACTGCTGGGGTTAACCACGGTTAAGGAAAGCCGCCACTTGAAGTGGCGGCTCTTGTGAAGCTCTACAAAAGCCGCCATTTGGAGTGGCGGCTCTTGTGTCGTTGTATAAAAGCCGCCACTTGAAGTGGCGGCTCTTGTTAAACGTACCTGCTGCAGCACCAATTTAAACAACTAAACCTGTAATAACCTATAATAACCACCAATTTAAACAACTAAACCTGTAATAACCTATAATAACCACCAATTTAAACAACTAAACCTGTAATAACCTATAATAACCAGATTATGTGCTCATCAGAGACTCAAAGTACATTCCAGTAAAAAAAAAAACAACCAAACATATGATTTACTAAGAAAACATATACCCGAAACACAAAACGAATCAATGAAACTACATTACAACATACATCCAAAACACAAAACGAATGAATGAAACTTCATATTATGAGACTTTCACAAACGGAATCAGTACACCACAAAATTGAGTATGATCCATAAAAGTTATAATAAATCTGGTGTATCCCAAAATGATTCGATCTGCTAGTGCATACTACAACTTTCACACAATAAGTGAAATACAAATATCATAACTCAACGTGATCATCATCATCATGAAGCTCATGTAGTTGTGCTCGGGGACGTCTGCGCTGGTTACGAGGCTGAAGAACAACTCTATCACGTCGGACTGCCTGAGAAGACCCTGCTGCGGATGTAGATGCAGTGGAATGCTGAGACGCGGCCATATATCCATAATCGACTCGACCCAATACATCAGCACACAGTGAAACAATGCCTGAACAAGCGTCATGGTATCCCTGTACATCTACCGCCTCATCAAGTATAGCAGTCGCTCTGTCATGGATGCTACGCAAAGCCCGTGTCTGTAATGCAAACATGGTTATTAGTGAAAAACACATGAATAAATATATAAAGATATTTTATTGACTATGTTGTTTACCGTCATATGAAGAGCGACTGAGCTAGGCTGGTAATGATCAGTGGGTAAACGAAAACTGGGAGAGATAAACACTCGTGTGATGGTGTAATACCATGTCATGTAGTCTACAGAAGCTGTGGGGACTAAAGATGGGATCCCGTCCACTATATACGCCGCTCTATCATCCCACATAGTGATATACTGAATATGGCGCATCCCCCAATCTTCAGTGTGCTTCCCCCGTCTATCAATCTTGTGCAAATCCACAGATGTATCACAAGGTCCGGGAGTAACCTGCTGCAACCCAAACTGGCGTAGTACGCGATCAGGAAAGTAATGCTCCACAACATCAAAACATATCAAAGGCACACGTGCTCGCCATATCTGAGTGTGCTCTCGGGCAACAGGAGGCAACAGGCCTAGAATCTCATCAGTGTACGGCATCCACGTAATCTATAATATAAAATTAAGTTATACCATGGTTTATAAAAACATAAAACAAATGACTTACATTTAATGATATACCTGATCATCACACAAGCGATCTAAAGCATCTCGGTAGTATCCTAACCCAGCAGCGGATGACGTGCGCGTGACATGAGCAAATAGCCATCTGACACATTGTAATGTATAAGAATATATAACAGGATTCACGTACGTCATACAAAAAAAATCGTAAACATACCTACGACCCAAAGGATCCTCACCACGAACATGATGTGGCCCAAGTACTGCGTGCTGATCCATATCATCATCAAGAGGACCACCATCTACCCCATGATATCGCAGTATGACAGGTCTGCCGATATGAATGTGCTCCCATGACCATAACTGTATGAGCAATAAAAACCCACCCATCTCTCCACCGTCACGATGACAACCTCGACATAACTGCCGATATAGGTATGCTAAAGTGGCACTACCCCAGCTATAAAATGCAGCTACATCAAAAGACTGCAGAATGGGTAAATACAAGACCTGCACCTCATTCCCACTCTTGTCTGCAAACGTGGAAGCTCCCATAAGCATCAGAATGTATGCTCTCGCGTACTGCTGCACAACATCATCATCAGCATCAGCAGGTAAACCAACAAAATGCTCTCTCAACCAAGCCATCCTCAAAGCAGACCCCCGAATATCTGTCCCCGGGTGTGGCCGTACTCCCAACAATCTATGTACCACATCAACCCACAGTCTACATGCAGTCCCAGTAACTGCCCGACCCTGGATCGGTAGACCTGCCAATACAGCCACATCTCCTAATGTGATCGTGACCTCACCCACCGGTAAATGGAATGTGTGAGTCTCCTGTCGCCAACGCTCAAGTAGAGCGGTAAGTAATGCTCTATCTATATGCAAAGTCGAAACTAATCTATGAACACCATAAAACCCGGCTAATCGAACGTAATGAAGAATCCTATCGTCCACCCCCATGTGGAATGTACTGCGTAGGTGCTCACGACACCTATCTACCTGAACATCCAGGCCACGCCACACATCCTCGCTCCGGTGCGTGGCCTGCAATGTCAGGACTGAAGGATCAATCGGTCCGGGATCCACTGACACCTGCATCGGCGCTGTAAAAAGTAATAAGTGTATTAGTTATTTCATTTTAATATTAAATTAAAATTATATATTTATTAATATTGCTAATGCATTTGCGAATAAAAGAACAACATTACCCAGTAGAACTCCCTACGTTTCCCTCTGATCTTCTAGCACATGTGGTCCTGTTATGCCCTGTTTGCTTGCAGTTACCGCATCTCACAGTACCTTTAGGACCTTCATCCATTTCATTTCTCAATCGTTTAGCCTTCGGACGACCTTTAGCGTGAATCATCGACGGGTCATGCACAACTCGTGGTCCAGTGTAAGTAGGTCGGTATGCTATATCTGGTATGGGCTTAAATACTCTTTTATAGGAAGCCGCATACTCCGAGGAAGAAAAAAATTTATCAACAAAAGCATCATAGGACAAACTACGGTGTCTGCATACCGCTAATATATGTGAACAAGGAATCTTATAAATATTCAGCTTCTGACATGTGCAATGGCGACGTTGCAAATTCACCGTTTGTTTTCTGCCACCCTTCCCCGTGGTTCGACCACCACGACCCGTCTCTACTTGGTATAAACCATGGCCTATGTCAAATATTGTGACCTTGTGATGCTTTGCCTTTTCCATATTTTTCTCTATCATTTCGGTCACTTGCTGGCAGTAGCGATGCCCTTCTGCTAATCTTCTCTTACTAGTTTCTCTTCTTTCCACAAAATAGGCATTCACACGATAAAATGATAACTCAACTAAGGCGGTTACAGGTAGGTATCGTGCACTCTTCATGACACTATTGAAAACTTCAGCCATGTTTGTTGTTGTGGTGCCATACCTGTACCCCCCGTCGTGGTGTAAAGACCACTTCTCCAAACCAATGTTGGCTAGATATTCTCGTGCTTGTGCCTGCATTTCGCCTATCTTATTAAATCCACCATCAAATTTCTTTTTTTGGCGTTGACTTGCTGTCCATATGAACAGATTCTTCAGGTGAATGTCTTTAAATTGAGTATGCAGATTAGAAGCGACATGGCGTATGCAAAGCCTATGTCGTGCATCTGGCTCCTCCCATCCACCACCTACCTCATTAAATGCCTTCATAATTCCAGCATGTCGATCTGAAATAACACACAATTCTCTGCGTGTGATAAAATGACGTATGCACGCCATAAACCAGGGCCAACTCTCTCCATTCTCCGATTCACAGATCGCAAATGCCAAAGGGAATAGTTGATTATTAGCATCACTACCCATTGCCACCAACAATGTACCTTTACACTTCCCGTACAAGTGTGTTCCATCGATGGTTAGTAAGGGACGACAATGTTTAAAGCCCTTAATGGATGGCTTAAATGCCCAAAAAACCCTTTGAAACTGCTGAACATCAGTGGTACCTAAAAGATGGAGAAAATTAAGAGGACAAATTTATAATGAAATTTAATATGATACAATAATGATTTTAATAACTCATTGGTACCTGAAAGAGGTGGGTACCAATGCACGACTGTCCCTGGATTGGAATGTTGTAATGCCAACATGAAATGAGGCAATTCAGAATACGACGCCTCCCAATCTCCAAATATTTCACCGATAGCTTTTTGTTTAGCCAACCAACTTCGCTTATACGAAGGTATATAGCCGTACCTTTCCTTCATAAGCTGACTAATAGTGCGGACTTTTAGTGATGGATCGGTACGAAGAAGATCAATAATTTCATGTGCTATGAACTGAGCTGTGATACCAGCATGGTCATTGTTATCGACGTTACCTACACAAGTAGGTATATGAGGACCTGCATAACGAACAACTTTGAACATATCTAGCTTCTCATGTTTTTTGGTAGCCCGGATCCGCCAAGTGCAGCCACAGTCTTTTCTCCTCTTACACTCTGCCACCCATTTGTGTTTGTCAGACTCAACAACTGTGAAAAATTGGTTCCTCTTTACAGAGTATGCTCTAACCATGTTGATCAGTTGTTTCTTATTATCAAACTCTTGCCCAACCTCAAACTCACCATCTACAGAAAAACGACTACAAGTTGTAGAACCCTTCCATGATTCATCATATCCCGCAGGGAGCTCATAAACTTTAGTGTAGTGGCTGGATGGAGCATTGCCACTCACGAGATCACCACCATCTTCATCTGAATCTGTTAGCGCGT